TATATCCTATTTTTTTTTCTGGTGTGTGATGAGTTGACGATTGGAACAAGTTGTAATGCCTGTCACGTACTTGTATAAACTTCATGCCACCTCTCTCTTTAACTTTCTCCCTTTCACTCCCAGAATGCCAATGTGAGGACAGCTCTCTTCCCATCTGTCAGGTGGTAAGTCAGCAAAAAGCTGCATCACAAGTCACTGTCTAATCAGCTTTTTGCCAGAAGGAAGAAAGAGTGGGCAAATTCAGTTAAGTCAGCACTGTGTTTTCTCTCAGGGGGAGGTGCTGGTCGAGGTTCCAGACAGCAGCACCAACTGTGGCTGTCCTCAGCATACATGCCGTATGTGTAACGCAAGCATGGAAGCATAGACCTGACACTAGTGTGACAATAGACATCCTGTAGACATTATTTCTTCCACTGATTCATACTAATCAGATATCTAAGCTCCATTCATATTTACCATGAGAAAAACTTTAATTTGTCACTTACAGTATAATGAATATGTGTGTGTGTGTGTGTATAGAGAAGGCAGAGGTGTGTCTTTTCCAAGGGGTAACGGTGCTGGGCCCAGGTCAGTCTCTTGTTCAGTACCTTGAAGGAGAGCTGTGTTACACTGTCCACTGCCTGCATCAGAGAGATCCAGACACTGGCTATTACGCCATGGAAATTTCCTCTGTCAACTGTTCCCAAAAATGTGGATCGGTATGTATCCAACACATTTAACACCTTTTGATAGGTCATATAGTCAGTGAAACACGCAGAGAAGCATTTTTCCAGATTTTATCTCTTCAGTTGTAGCTTTTATACCATGCTTCATCCTTCACTTCTGCATTCACCTCATCTTTTTAGCACCAGGTGTACGTACAATCCACAGACCCTCAGGTGTGCTGCGGCTCCTGTAAAAATGTCTCCTGTACTTTCACCAACGAAAATGGGACAACAGAGCTTTTCGCTGTAAGAACAAACACATCCACATGTGCTAAATGACCCCCCTTTTTTTGAACAGTACTGATTGTGCTTGTGTGTGTGCAGGCAGGGAGTTCCTGGGTTGAGAACTGTACACGTTACGACTGTATGGAAACAACAGTGGGAGCCGTGATACTCGCCTCTGGGGTGGTTTGCCCACCTTTCAATGACACAGAGTGTGTTCAGGTCAGGACCTCTAAATGGACTACTGTATATATCTGAATTTACGGTTCAACTCTAACAAACATTTATTAAGTAATTATTAAGTCTAATAATTACAGTAATATGTCATGTCCTTTGTGTTTTGTCGTTGTATGGATGCATAGATCAGGAACTTTTAAGTTTTTAGATTCCAAAGACAATTTTAAGTTTTATCTGCCAAATAAAAACTTTGATGCACTCATAATATGTATTAGTTTGTTAATTAGTTAATTTGTTAGTTTGGAAGCATGGATTTGTTTGAATGTTTTCTCTTGTTTTCTCTTCCTGTTCACTTCTTGCAGAATGGTGGTGTAGTTCAGAGCTATGTGGATGGTTGCTGCAGGACATGTGAGTCTCCAAATTTATTAGGTGCTTGTGGTAATGCTTTGAGCTGTCAATCGGCGGGGTGAGCGCCTTGTTGCCTGGCAGTGGATGGGCTTATTGGCTGTATGGTTGGGGGTGTGGCCTGTTGTAGAGGGTGGAGATAAAGCCTGTTGTTGGCCTATCATTACATTTCCCACAATCCCTGGCTTTCCCAGTTTGTCCCCAAATGTTCTGTTGACATATTCAGGAGCCAGCACAGCTCAGACAGAAGTAGCATTTGGTGGAAAACTCAAGGAAATAATAATAAAAATGTAATAGAATGATATTCTCAACATTAAATCCATCATTACTGATTACTATGTGAATACATAACTTCCTGAACTTGTGCTTTCAAGACGATGACCTGTGAACTGTTCTTCCTGTCTACTTTAAAAAATTATATTGAGTAAGAAGATACTCCCAAGTTGTGTGGATTTAACATGCAGTGGTGACATTTTGTCTTTTTGGGGATTTGGCATTGCAGCCTCGCCCGCTTGCCTGCTTTAGCAGTGACCTTGCAGTTTGGCCAATCAGGGTGCTCCATGGTGAGCGTTTTACCAATGAGGATGCAAGATGTTTCAGGGGTTAGAGTTTGCCCTGCTGAGCTTCTCTTTGTAGTAGATCAAATGGCTGAGTTCCTTTGCTGGCTGCCCGGAGTGACCCAAAAAAAAAAGAAGTGAAATCCATGTGCATGCCAGCTGCACTGATTCCATCCTCTGTGTGTTTGTGTGTGACGCTGAACTGTGTTTTCTGAACCAAACGTAACCTTGTGTGTGTTCTCATGACGTTCTTTGAACCGGATGGCTGCGGTCCCGACGATGCTCCCAGGTTCTGGAGTGGGTGTTTTACCATTTACCGTTAATCCCGTAACCCCCACTGGTAGTACTAACTGTGACACAGGTACCACCATCTTGCACTATTCCCACTTACAATGATTCTTTGGCATCCTGGCACACAATCGCTCATTCACGTGCACTTTAAAGCTTTGTGTGAATGTGTGTGGTGCAAGCCGATTTTGGTGTTTGAGTGTCGTGTCTTTTCATTTTCTTCCTCTCACTGGTTAATCCCCAAAACACAACATAAACAACATCTAACCTAGCATAAATCTCTAGTGCAAAATCATCCTTCAGACAATATCCTGTATTAAATATTTCAGGAAATCAAAGTGTTAAACGTCAGAATAAGCTGCAGTATTACACATCGATTAAAAAAAGGTGGAGATCATCTGCTCTTTTCATTACATTCCAGCCTCACACCGAATCCTTTTGACCAGCTTTGATTGGCTTAAAAGTAAGGTTAAGTTTAGGTCAGTAGCCAATAGGAGAGCCGAATCTCTGCTGTGAGGACTGTGCCCCCCGTCACCCAACTGTCAATCAAAGCAAGCTCCTACTGCTGGGCAACAAAGAGCCCTGCTCAATAGGCCTTTCAGGGTTGTATGAGTGGCAGGTCTCTGCAGTAAAATGATCAAATAGTGTGTTTGTGTGTGTGAGCATAATGTTTACCAGTGTATGTACGCACGTTTCTTTGTGTATGTTTGTTCTTGCATCTTCACATTTTCTGCCGTTAAAAGGTATGTTGTGTTAGTGATGTGTTTATGTGTGCACAGTCTGTCTGGAGTTACTTCTGAGTGTTACCCTGTGTATACATCTTACTTCTGTGTGAACATGTGTGTAGGTAAAGAGGACGGTAAGACATGCAAACGTGTGGCCATTCGGACTACGATTAGAAAAGACGACTGCCGGAGCAATGCACCGGTGAGAGAAGAGAAACACGCAAACATAAAATGAGGATTCTCAGTTGGCTGAAATAAAACTATAAACATTATTTTAAAAAATCTACAATTGTCTCCTCCTGTCTCCCTCCTCTTACAGGTCACTGTCTATTCTTGTGATGGGAAATGTCCGTCTGCCACCATATTCAACTTTAACATTAACAGTCACGCCCGGTTCTGTAAGTGCTGCCGTGAGAGTGGACTACAAACCCGCTCCGTCACACTCTACTGCTCTCGCAATGCCACAGTTGTGGAGTATAACTTCCAAGAGCCTCTGGACTGTTCCTGCCAGTGGAACTAAAAACATGGTCCAGGCAGAAAAATGAATGAGAGCATAACAAATGAAGAGAAAGTATGAATAGAGGGATACTTGAGGGGAGGAATCATATTTTTACAGTACTGATGAACAAGCATAAAAACCAGCCATGTTTAATTTTGTTTGTCACTATAGTTCAACTTTACAACACTGACCTTAAGTCATAGTTGTAACTATATTGAAAAAAGCAAGTGTAAGTGAGAGATGGTTTTCATATAGTTTTGTGTACACATGAGTCTTTAACTTCTTGCTGTCCCCACCCAGTCAGCTTTCTAGAGCTTTCAAGTGATAGCACGACGCCATTAGCATCTTATCTACTGTATATTAACAATTGGTATCATGTTGACACAGCACTTGTTGCATTTTTTATATATCTGCTGTTGGGTTAAAAATGCTGTATATGCATTTTGGTTTGTCTTGGGAGATCAATTTAGCCTTTGTATAAATTAAAGTGTTATGCAATGCTTTGTTTCCTTAGAAAAGTTTAATGAGTTTCAAAAATGTTGCCTTTGCTCTCTTTGTAGTTTATTATTTTGAAGTAAAGTAGGTGAATAAAAGATTTAATAGTGTATTTGTCTGAATTATTGCAAGACTGACTGTCCTTGTGAGCGGCAATGTGTGCTTTTCACTCATCCTTCCAGTGTCTTGTTAGCAAACCTTTATTACGCACACATACTCATCCTGATTCAGCACTTGTAGTGCTGACATGTGTTTGTGTTTCACCTCCGAGCAGTTATTGCTGTGTGGGAGTCACCTCTTTATAACAGAGCCCCTCAGTGGACTCAACCCTCTGTCTGTCAATCATTTTTCTCCCTTTCACATTCCTGTCATTCCACACGGGCCAGTACTTCCACCACGCCCAAGCCAAACCACTGCACTGTTATGAACAATTTGCTGCATATGCTTATTTTAGAAGTTTTAAAGAGTTTGAAACTCATGAAAACAAAACCTGTCTGCTGTGACTGACTGACTGACTGACTCCTCCAGAGGATTGAAGCTGGTGGCTTTAAGCACATCTCTATTTCCCACCGCATGTCTTATCCCTCTCCTCTTTCTCTCAGTATGCTCCACATCCCCAGCCTCCCCACCTCCCCTCTCCTCAAGCAGCCCTGCTCTGGAGTGACCATGTGCCTGTGGTTGCCATGGTAAGCTGCTCTTATCCCAACAAAGAACCAGAACAAATTGAGTTGGACTCATACATGCACAATCTCTCTCTCTCTCTCTCTCTCTCTCTCTCTCTCTCTCTCTCTCTCTCTCTCTCTCTCTCTCTCTTTCTCTCTCTCTCTATCACACACATACACACACAGTCCCCTCCTTCACATAAGAGTTTGCTACTCGGGGGGAAACTGCCATTGAAAGCTGACGCTGACTTTGAGTGCGCGCTAAATTCAAAGTCCAGGCTCTGCGTAAAACTGAAGAACAAACAACTAGAGATTTCCTGAGGATTAAGATAGTTAGGTAGTTGTAATTTATTTCCAAAGGCTTTTCATGTCTGAAAAAGACTCAGTTGTGCCTCAGCGTCCAAAATAGTTTGGGACTTTCCACAACCGATGTTTACGCACAGCTGTCTTGGGTTTTCTTATGAGCTTATGCCTGAAACTGCCAGGATCCGTTGTTTATCGCCTTGGAAGTGACTGTATGTACCCAGATGGATCTGTGACTGCTGACAGGTATGCTAGATGAGATGGAGTGACATTTCCAATGGATAGAGCAGAGCTTCTGTGGTTACTTGCTAGTTTCTGTCAGGTAAGATTAAGTCTTGGAAAACATTCAGTTCTCTGCAGTTTATGGTCAATATCAATCAAGGTTATTTAGCTTCTGTGGCACACTTAACATATTACTTTCCTCTTCCTCAGGTGATTTTGCTGACATGTGAACAGCATTTAAACCCTGTTGAGCTTGAAGTTATTTTTCAGTCATTCCCTTCCGCTAAAGATCCAGACACCTACACAGTCACCTGCAGGACTGCAAGTAACCATCTGGTAAGAAAACCTGTGCAGGTGATTGGCAGATAATGAATTTCAGTTTTATTAGTTTGAGAAGTAAATGAATCGTCACATCTTCTTTGCAGGTGTATGTGGAGCCCATTGATCATTCAGCATGCTCCCGTTACTGCAAAATGTCACTGCGATTGATTAACGACCCAAGAGGATACAACATCACACTGAGAGCCAGCAGAAATGATGTAACTCTTGAGGCAAAGACTTTTCACTTTAGTGAGTGTCTGTGAGCCTGATGGAGGAAAAGTCACATACTTACGTATTAATTCATGCTTATTGATGTTAACATCTTTCATCTTGTCTCTACCCCTTCCCTTCTGTATTTGTATCAAGTTCCAGTCTCCCTGTCCTCCCTTCAAGTATACAGCACTGCGACTACTGCTCTCCTGACATGGGAACTTCACAGACAACAAAGCCTATCTACCTTGAGTCTATACAACACCCACACACAATCTGTCACACACATCTTCAACGTCAGCTCATCAGTGGCAGAGTCTCAATACGCAGTGAAAGGTCTCCAGCCTGGCACACGCTTCAAGGCCAAAGTTGTGGTGACAACATTCCTCAAACACCTTAATATGAGCTTGAAGCAGAGACTCGACATTGGCATGGAAACAGGTATTGTGCATATTTGCTTTAAAACTGGCTGCAGGCAGGGTGGAATCCGTCGGTATTAGCTGATGATGAATTCTGTCTCCAGCTCAGTGCCCACCTGACTGGTTGGCCAATGAGAGAAGCTGCTATACTGTGAGCAGGACAGCTTTGAAGTGGAGTGATGCCCTGAACAGATGCAAAAACTTGGCAGCTGGAAGTCACCTGGCTGACCTGAAGACCCGGGAAGATCTGCTCTTCATATCTTCTCACCTGCTGAGCCACAACAACCTGCTGCTGCTGTGGACTGGACTCAACGACCAGCAGGTATCCTTATTACAGAAACAGACATTTTATCAAAGAATAGACTTTTTTTTCCTTTTCATCCTGTCAGTAAGAGCCATAATAAATATTAACTTTGTGTTTTAACTTTGATTTATTTTTCCATTTACATTGTCAGAATAGCTATGTAAAATATTTAATAATCTTTTCTCACAGCAGATCACATCAGAGAATTTTCATGAATAACTTAGCATTTAGTGATTTAAAGAAGGATTTACCAAGAAAACCTTTTAATTAAAACATGTTAAAACGGCGTATACATTAAGAGTTAAGTTGTTATTCTGTCCTGCAAGCATGTCAAAATCAAGAATTTAGTAGGTAGGTTGTTCCTGTAGGGTATGGAGGAATATGTGGAAAGTGACAGTAGATTTCAAAATATCTTGCACAACATTTTGTCACACATTTTGACACTAAAGAATACTGTCTTCCTTGTGTGTACATCATGTTTTTGACATACTTTTTGTGTAACCAATCTGATACAAAGGAAATGTCAGTTGTTGTGATTATATGTTTTGAGAAAATTGGCATTTTTTCATTACTGGGTGAGGTAAATAATAAATAAAAACAAAAATACTCAATGTTATACAGATATTATAGTTGTAAAATGTATAATAATATTTCAAAACTAGTCTTTCTAGCCAAAATGACAGTTTACTGCCTTGACTGCCTTGACCGAAACCAGCAGTGACCAGTAAGACCATAAAGGTGTTGAGACTTGATTTTCTGTTTTCTTTCTAAACAGAAAAAGGCCCATAGCAGCACTTACTCCTTAAAGAGGAGTTTTGTTTTCGATCCTTTAACTTTAATGACAGTGAGCTGGTAATCTCTGTAATGTGTACACAATACAGTGCAAAATGCCTCTCTTCTGTCACTCCACAGGAGGAGGGACAACCTCTCTGGTCTGATGGCTCAGTCCATAATCTGACCAACACTATGATGTCATCACTGCCAGCCAATCAGACAGACTGTTTTGCCCTTCAGAGGAATGCCACAGGGCCCGGATACTTTCTCACTCCGTTCTTCTGTAACATCCCCTTACCCTTCATCTGCCAGTACCAGAGTAAATACCTTATGTAATATACCTTTATTAACCAGCACATTCACTGTGGGTGCAATTTTTTGACTAATCTGAGGAGTTATCCTAAAAAAATCAATGCATTTTGTTATCATCTATTTCCCAATATCGCGTTTATCCACGATTTCACTCAATCTCAGGATAAATAACGTATGAAAACACTTACAAGTAAACGTAAACCATATATAAATATAATGTTGCTCTGCTTCTTCCTCTTTCACAGCCCCTCCAGTCCCTGCCTTATTCTCCTTTGACCTGGTTCGGGTGACAGAGCAACAGGTAGCGCTTCACTGGAGTGACCTCTCACTCTTGAACTCACTTAATATTTCATCTTTCGAGATATTCCTCCAGTACCAAGAGGAGGCAACTGGAGAGCCTGGTCAAAGAGAAGAAGATAGAGACAGGAAGTCAGAGGACAAAAAGAGGACACAGAACAAAAAAAATGTCAAGGTCCCCATTTCCCTGTCCTCTAGAGGGGTAACTGTGACAGGTTTGTCTCCAGGGAGCGTTTACTCTTTCACCCTTCGAGCGGCTCACCGTGCTGGCTCCACCTGGAGCTTGGGACAAACACGGACCGCCTACACTAGTGAGTCTGCTGGCAACGTGTCACACGCATACATTACACAAACACCATCTTATGCCATCAGATGTAACTTCACTTTCACATGCCCTTTTTCTTACAGGACCTCTTCCTCCTCAAAATATCACTGTCGGACCCATTACCATCAGTCAGATTAGTGTCCACTGGGTGCTGCCAGTTGCACAGTTAAGGGTCGGATGGACATTTGTTGTGCGCTATGTGGACATGTCTTCAAGACAAGAGAAGATAGTTGGAATGAACAACATCTCCAGGTTGTCAGAGACTGGTGGGTTGCAGCCATACACTGCTGTAATTGGAGGGATGGAGTCTTACAGGAAATACAGGGTTGAAGTTAACACAGTCACCCAGCATGGGATAGAGAGCTGTGGACAGGCGCCTGTGACTGTACAGACTGGTAAGCATGTAATAGGCCATTTTCACAGCAGACATTTTGACTTATCCTAGTAGAACAAATATGTTACTAATAACATTAACAATAGCACTGTTTCACTCAAATGTCCCATTAAGTCAAGGCAGTGTGACAGTGAACCAGCATGCACAATTCAGGGCAGCTAAATGGGATTCAGCTATCATTAATTTTATTATTCTACACCTGTTCTTTTTCTGCTGTGATGTCGAAATGTCATTCTTGAAAAAGGTACATTAGCACATTGTTTTGATTCGATTAAGTTGTTTTCCTTAAGCTTAAGTTATCAAAGTGTGCCTTCTAGCTGCTTGCATGTACTGAATGTCAATGGCGTGAAATGTTACATTACATATTGGCAACAATATTCAATTTACATGATTTAATTTAATTAATAAAAAGGCATAGTTCCAAACATTCGAGCAAAACTGTTGCAATCACATGAAAGTCAGGTTACACTAATTCCCTGTTACTGTCACTGGACTTTTTTTGTGAGTTTGAAGCCGTTTTGCTGTTAATCTGACAGGTGTCTTCAGTTGTGGAAAACCACACCACTTCATCACAAGGTGCTAAAAGTGAGGTGGCATCCTCTCAAGATAAATTCTGAGGATTTCCTGCATGAATAAGTCATTTAGATAAGGAGCTTAACATCTTCAGTCACTGGGTTTATTAGACATGTCTGCGACTTAATAAATTGCGATACGCAGTTATTTGTCTCTCTGGACAAGAGGATACAATTTCCCTTCTTTTTAACATTTTTGCATCATGTCTAGTGTCAACATTTGTGTAAATTAAGATTTGGTGATCTATCTTGCCAACTAAAAAAGATAAGTTGGAGATGCTTTACTTTAATTTACAGTAAGAACTAAATTAAATAACAATTTCCATTTTGTGCCTCTTAGCGGTGAGGGCTCCTGGTGGTCTGGTGGTGTTGCGCTCGACAGCAAATCTTACAGTCTGCTGGACCAGCCCACCTGATGACCCATCAGACGGTTATTATATCACATTCCACCCACCCATTAACCCCACACCAACTTCACTGTGGATAAACCAGTCCAGTCCTGGTGTACAGTGGGTAAATGAGTCTGTGTGTGTTAATCTTGGCACATTCACTCCAGGTCAAACATATGAAGTTGGAGTAGTCTCACTGAGGGGGGAAGATAGGAGCATGAAGACCAGCATCATACACACCACAGGTAAAAGAAATATGGATACTGCCTCTAAAGGATAGCTTTGCACTTTTCCAAGTCTGTCTAGGTCTTAAAACAATGAGGAGCCCATAGAAACATTGAAACCATTTTTTGTACTCATACTGGCCAGTGAAAGATCCCTTCCAAATGTTTTCAATGTAAGTGATGGGGGATAAACTAAAGTCCTCGTTTGCTGCACAAATGTTTTCATAGGTTTATCTGAAGCTAACAGAAGGCTTCAGCAGTCTGAGGTAGTCAGTTAATATCTTCCATAGTTACAGCCTCTTTGGAATAAAAATCCCAAACCCTGTGGAAGAATTTGTACGAAACAGGCTGTAACTTATCCACAGGATTTGACTAATTTGGAAAGCGGGAGCGGTTTATGAAAAGGAGGGTTTTGTCCCCATGCCCAGTATGATTACAGCAAGCAAAATCTCTTTCAGCGTACATATGAACACCTGGCTATTATAAGACGAATTGTGAACCCATCGTTTAACAATGTAGATGTTTTTTTCTTTACCATACTAGTCATTTTGTAAACTGCAGTATCTTTCTCTCTTTTGTACTTTGTAGATCCAATGCCGGTTCAGGTAGCAGTCCCTCTTTCAGTGGGCGTAAACTCTGCACAACTGTACATCCAGCATCCACAACTGGGTCTGATTGATGGGGTGAAAGTGTGTGTATGTCCACAAGTGTGCGACAGTGTGTGTGAGGGATCGTGTGGGTACACATGTGACTGGTACTCTCTCCCTGCCGGCATTCATATCATAACTCTTCGCAACCTTGGTCCAGGATCAGAGTACCAGCTCAGGGTGTACAGCACCAGTCGAGAGCAGGTTGGACCACCTTACTACACCCGCCCTGTTAGAACAAGTGAGTAACCTCTTATATTTGCACATACTAGTCAGATTGCCAGAGACAGCAGACACATTCGGTCGAGATGCTTCCAGCTGGAATGTGTCAGCATAAACATAACGGTTTATAACGATTTTAATGCTCTCCCAACATAGTGGCTCCATTAACAGCCATGTGAACATGAATTTTACCTATAAATCCAGTCAGTTGACACACCTAGCAGCTCTCATTAAGCTTCAGCCAGTGATAAATGGTTTAATATTGAAGTTTTTATAGTTTTGAGGAAACAAACCAGATGTAACGTTATCTGCTGTTGCCAATAACCCTGAATTTAACTGACTTTCAGCCAGAAACAAGTGGTAGTGTAGTGTAATATAATGTAGTGTGGCTTCTTACAGCTGAGATTGATTTTAAAATTTGCTTTCCAATCGTAAGCCGTCTTTGTTATTGTATTGCAATCTGCAATCACTCCTCATTTCTTCTCTTCATGATTCAATAAGATTAAATAAATAAAAAATCAACCATCACCATTTAGGTTAGGCTTTGAGCTATAAGACAGATGTTAAATTGTGCAATAGATATTGTATCTTGTTTTGTGCTTCTAAAGGCCGACAAAACCCTCCAAAATAAAAGTGCGTCACTTATGTGGCTGAGCTTTTTTTCTGTCTGTCTTACTAAGTTAAAATAAGACAGAAGGCCTGGAGAGTAATATCATTTTTAAATCTTTTTTTAAAACAAAATTATGAAGACTTTTATTTGTTGTCTTTTACCCTATTGCCTTATTATATTTTATTATAATGTGTATGGAGCTTGTAAACAAATTGTAATGATTCAGCTCTTTTTTTGGTGATAAATTAGGCATCATCACATAATTGCTAGGTTTTTAAAATACCCCCAACCAAAGTTAATTAGCATTTTATGTTAGTGGAATAATTACAGTATGGGTTGTGGTTTGTGATTTTAGGTCTGGCTCCTCCCGACAGAGTGAGGGAGGGTGTGGTGACAGATTCATCCATAGAGCTGCTATGGGATCCAGCACAAGGACAGACTCACAGCTACGAGGTCATCTGCCTAAACTGTGACCATTCACACATGGTAAACTCTTTAAAATATGCGTTTTCACCTGTACTTGAGGCTAATATTTTCTTTTTCTGAGCACCTGTCAAAGCCTGGGTAAAGAATGAAGTGTCTACACCCACTGGAAATACTAATGAACCGCCTTCAGTATTTGCTTCAGGGGAGACTCATTGTTCACCTCCCCTCTTCCCCTCTAACTTATGCTGTTACTGTAAGAATTATAATAAGGCTTTTAGTCAGCTTCTTTGATTATATCATTTGTGTGGTACAGGTGCAGAAGGTTTTCAGTCCCAGTGCAGTGTTTTCTAGTCTGACTCCAGGCAGACTCTACCACTTTGTAGTACGAACAGAGAAGGAGTCCTTCACAGACAGTTCCCCCGTCTCTATCAACATCACTGCAGGTAAACACACACGCAAGCACACACACACACACACACACACACACACACACACACACACACACACGCACAGTACTTAATCTTCCTATTCTAACAACTACGTGTAATGTTTTTTTTATTCCACCAGCTCCCAGCCCAGTTGAGGTGTCTCTTGTCAGTAAGACCACATCCTCCATATGCATTCGTTGGAGTATGGTCAGGGGAGTGGTGAGCGGACTCATCCTGTCAATCAAAAACAGAACATCCAATCAAGAGCTGATGATTTTTCATCAGGAGCCCAGGTCAGTCTCCTTCTTGTCAGCCAGTATGAGACTGGAATTACAATCATTAGATCAAAACATATAACAACAACAGATTGCAACATGGATTACTCAAAGCTTGTCCTTTAACACTGGAGCTGTGTGTGTTCACAGATCTTACAACTTCGAAAGACTCGCTCCCGGAAGCCAATATACAATTGAAGTGATTAGCACCAGCGGGGAGAAAAGGAGTAAACCTTGTACTATGATCCTCCATACTAGTAAGTTTAAGACATATGGAGTGTGTGTGCCTACATGTGCATGTGTGTGAAAGATAAAGAAAGAAAATGATTTTGATTACAAAATTAATGTAGCAGGAAATAAATAGTCACAAGAGAGCAGCAGAATGCATATACAACTTGAAAAATATTACCACATACACTATTAGATTAAGAGAGAACTTAGAGATGTCTCTAAGGAGTGCAGGTTCCTGAGCCATGAGAGACAAAAAGGAAATTATTTTTGTCTGCATTCACTCCACTGATAACATTTTATTACAACATTGTGTCAGAGTAGAAGGGTGGTTTGAAATAAATCATTGTCACAATAGAAATTAAAACACCAGCTTAAAAACTAACCCTCTAAACTATAGAGGGACCAGCTAAAAAGGAAACTATGCATGTGTTTTTCTGGCCTCAGTATTTGCTTTAAATGCTGATTATAGTTCAATTTTACACGCGTAAAACGGTTACCAGATAAATTATTCACACTGAAATAACATTACAAAATTATGTTTGAATCTCAGTACTCATTTACTTCCAGTGTCTCACACCTCTATTCAGAGTGACAGTGTCAGTACATGGTATCACATGCTAATGGGAATCTTGTCTGCAGTCCCAGAGGTGCCACAGGAAGGGACTCTGTCAGAGCAGGTAGTGACGTCTGTGTTTGTTACCTGGAGACCATCACGGGGACAAGTGGAGGGGTACAAGGTAAGACATGTATACTACTGCATCAGTCCAGTTCCACGTAACAATCAAAGAAGGAGAGACACGCGTTACAGGTTGTTACACCACAGTTACTTCCAGACAGATGTGCTTAATGATGTGCATCCTTGCCACACACATTACTCAAAATCATTTGTTTTTTCAAGGACAAATTAGGCCACTTGCGTAAGGTGCACACTCACCTGTTGGTGACTTAGCAACCGTTGTTGGCACACCACAGATTCGGTTACCGACTCTTTAAAGATGTATGACCTCGGTAGAGCCATGGCCAGGAAGAATGACCAAGCACATTACTTGCACGCACAGTGCAAACCAACATTAATAAAAATCAATGACATTGACATTGGGAAATACACAAGATTGGTAGAGCAAAAAAGGCTTATGTTTTCATGTTATTGAAAGTTGAACTGATTTCTTTTTGTTTTTCTCAGCTTGTTTTTGGCCTGCTGTCTGTGGACAGGAAATCATGGATTGAGGTGCTTGTCCAGGGCACAAGTTATGAGATCAGGGATTTGATCCCTGGGTCAGACTACAGTGTCAGCATTCAGAGTGTGCTCGGCTCAGACACCAGTCAGGCAGTCCACATAGAGTTCAGCACACGTAAGACACACTCATACGCACACACACAGAAACACACAGGCCTAAATTCTGAACAGTATGTCAGGATAGACAAAGCTGTTAGTGATTCTTCAGTTAAAAGATTATATCCTGGTAACACATTAAAAGAAAAAATTAAATTGTGACCTAAATTATGAAAACTATAGGTGTAAAATTACAATAATTATCTTCCAGGCCCGGCAGGATTATGCGCCCTTCATTTAGCCAACATAAACTCTACTTCTGTCTCTGTGAGCTGGGACAGTGCATTCGGAGAGTTTGACTTCCACAGAGTGACTGTAACCAACACCTCAGTCACAAACACACTCACCATACCCAAGAAGGAGCGGGTTGCCGTGGTCACAGGGCTAGTGCACGGCTGCAGCTACAACGTTAGTGCTGAGAGAGTGAGAGGAGTGACAGCGGGGAGCCCTGCCTTTCTGACTGTAACCACAGGTAGACATTATTATTTAGGGCTGCACCGGTCAACACCCCATTATTATCACCTGCCCTGATTGCTTCTTCGTTGAGTTACTGAAACTTTCTCCACCTCTCTGACTCTATTTCCCTCTTTCCTGTCTGTCATGAGTGCCAGCCCGTGTACGAGGAGTGCGTTTCGTGAATGTCTCTGCACGTGCATTCTCCCTATGTTGGGAGCAGGCGGTGGGGTGTGTGGATCATTACGAGGTGACCCTGCAACCAAACCAGGGGAAAGTCACAGTGCACCCAGCACGTGATGGATACATACAGGTATACACACATACTCAATGAAACACACAGCTGGTTAGATGCAGTAACAAGGGCATTTTCTGGATTTACACTTTGTGTTTCACCTAATAAACCCATAGTAGACACTTGGACATTAAGACAGTACAGTTCAACTAAATACCATCAATGCAATGTTATTAACATCCACACAAAGGAGGAGGCCTGGCCGGCTCTTCCCGGCTGCCAGGTGTCAGATACCCCCCAAAATGTAACCTTACACACCACACACACAGAGCACACAGAGCACAGAGTTGAGTAATAGATCTCATTATTTATTAAGTTGGCCTCATGAGCTCAACCCTGAATCATTCATTTGCTTAAGCAGCTCTCCCTAGAGAGCAAGAGAGAGAGAGAGAGAGACCAGAGGGAGAACGTTAGCCTCGTGCTAATGAAAGGACCCACTGCCCTCCCAGGCTTGCCACGAAAAATTTTGGAATACCTCAAGACCAAGCGGCGTTAATATCCAATGCCTGGACGGCTAACCCTGTGACCTTTACTCATGCCACTAACCAGCTTCTAGACCTGGAGTTCAGCTCAGTGGATTACCTGTAAACCACTGCTAACAATTGTGCACTAACACTGGATGCAGTTCTGCTGACGAGGCCTCTAACCCGTGTCTAAACTAGAGCTAACTCTGCTACCCAGCATGGCCTTCTTCTCACTCATCCTGCTGCTCACACTCTGTTTGGGACAGGTACACTCACAGGTAAGAAGTCAACACTCAATATCTGGCATTGCTGTGCACATATTTGTTTATTTATTCAGATATACAGAACATTAATAAAACATTTACACTCTATTCTTCTACATATATACACATACTTGTTGTGACATGAGCATGTACAGTGAGGAGGACATACACAGATGCAGGAAAAAAAGCTTGGTCATATTTCTGGGAGGTAACATAAGGTATCAGTGTGACACATCGACGTGCAACATACTGATTTCACAGGTGCAAATGTTGGTAGCAACACATACTAAAGCAAAAAGACTGCAACACAGCCAACACTTTATTATTCTGTAACAGACACAAACTCAAATATGAAGATACAAACAAGTGCAACCACAAGCAGAAACAAGCTGTCATCCTCACACAACCACCCACCTTCATATTGATACAGATGGCTGTGGCTATGGTTCTGTATGGTTCAAATAGAGTTGTGATGATTGCTTAATAGACTACAAAACAGAAGGCTGAGAGCCCTGAGGGTTATTGCAGATTTTAACAAAGTAATTTAGATTCATTCCTGCTTCTGTTTGATGAGATTTTTCAGAGGAATACTGTATTTTCTTTAGATAGATAGAAAAGTCGATGAAGTAACCCAGCTAATTTGAAATAATTAATAAATTAATAGCTAAAAAACTATACCCACAGTTTTTTAGGAGGAATATAACTAGAATGGTGCTAAAACAAACAATGAAAAAATTTATTAAGTATTAAGTATTAAGTATTAAAATCATTTTTTAAACAAGAATTAGTTAAAAGTTACCTTTTTCAGCTTTTCAATAATAAGGATTTGCTGCTTTTCTTTGTCTTACATAAACAGAATATATTTTTGTCACCAAAACCAACCGTGACAAATGACAACTGACAAAACAAGAAATAGGAAGATGTCCCCTTGGGCTTGAAGAAACTGTGATGGGCATTTTCCCACTATCTTTTTTTTAATTTTACAGATTAATAAGTGAATCAAGAGAATAATCATTAGATTCATTGATAAAACATAATTGATAATAATCTGTAGTTGCAGCTTTTACTGTAACCAGTGGACTACAAAAAGCTAACTTCACAAGACACCTCCTCCCCCAGCAACCAAGTTACCGCGTACTGCGATTGAGAGTGCATACAGACTAGTTGGCAAGTGAGCAGAGAACACAAGGAATGGATAAGTTTAAAACAATAGCGAAAGGCTTTATCTAGAGCCAGTGTTTTATTCCATTCCAGGATACTGTAGAAACATGGTAGTTCAATATGGTGGCTGCCTTTAGATTTAAAAAAAGTCTCTTTCTAAGGTAATGAAAACAACAATTTGCATTTCCAGAAGATTATACACTAATGAATACATATTTATGCATATTATATTACAATATGCCAATAGATCCTCCAGCTCTCTCCAGATTACACACTGGACCTTTAATCTGGTTTAAAATCCATTGAACAAAAACACAAGAGGTACTTTGGCTGTAAGGGTACATGAGGCAAAAAAAAAAGGTTGGGAACCACTGAGATGATGTTATATATGTATGTTGTGACCAGTTGTCCGTGTGTTTTGGTGTTTTCACAGGCCGATGTGGTAAATGTCAGTCCGGGGACAGAATACACTGTAACAGTCACAGTAGCCTCTTCCTCCTCCTCCTCCTCCTCCAACATCAGCCCTGGAGTCAGTCGCATGATCAATACTAATGAGAGTGGTGAGACGTGCACATGCACACACTGTTTGTTGTTGTTTGGATGGGTTTTGTTTTTGGGAGTTAAAGTGCCATCAGGCTCTCGTCTGCCCTCTGCTGTTTAATTCAGTCCCTGTATAGCACATGTACACACACACTGAGGGAAAGGAATTAGTACAGTCGATGTGTGTGTGTGTGTGTGTGTGTGTGTGTGTGTGTGTGTGTGTGTGTGTGTGTGTGTGTGTGTGTGGGTGGGTATAGTCCCTTCCCCGTTTAATTCCTCTTAGGTAACTTAAGCCCGGGCTTTTGAAACTCAGGATGAATGGGTCTGCAGTGAATGTCAGTGAAATGCCACTGCTGTGTGAGGCCTTATTCATCAGGGTTCGGCCTAAAACACACTCACACAGGCCCACACACACACACACACACACACACACACACACACACACACACACACACACACAAACACTCGGAGGATCAGTCCCCCACAGACAACAACACTATTCTTCAAATGACTCTGGTACTGTGTTCTGTTGAGTTCTGATATACAGACGTTGGTATTTATCAAAGGATTTATATGGGATCTCTGCTGTATTTATGGTATTGAACACAGATAGTGTGAAAAGAAGGTAATGAGGAAAGACTCTCTTTTATTCTCTTCTCTTCTCTCTTTCACAAACTTCCCTTCTTCTCTTCCAGTTCTTGGTCCACCTTTAGGCCTAGAAGGAGAGGCCGTGGGCTCTAATGGTATTCTGCTCTCCTGGACCATGCCACTTGATGCCAACAATATTGACGGATATGTCATCAGGTAATTCTTTGTTGTGTTCTTGGAAAACTGCAATCCAAAATTTATTATTTATGTCTTTGTCTATCACAACAAAATGAAACAGAATATTTCTATGAGCTCTGGCAGATTGTTTTCACCTTTTATAAGAAAATAATCCTTTGAAGACTAAAATAAGCTGCCAAGGCATAGATTTCATCCACTGGACAACGCATAAAGAAGCTAATTCTATATTTTATATGAAAAAATAATCTGCAAAATATACAAAAAGTACAATATTTGCATCTAAAATAAAGTAGGATAGAGGTAGCATTAAATGTAAATACTAAAATAAAGTAAAACCTTAAAACTGTGCTTTAATACAGTAACTGAGTAAATGTTCTTCGTTACTTTCAGTCCTTCATCCAGCTGTCTATACATGTTCGATGTGATGTCAGATGATGGTCTTAAAGACTGATTTCTTCCTACAGGTACAAGGAGGTGTGTCCTTACCCCGATCCCACCTTCACACAGACAACCAAGTACCTGGACATACCAGAGACCCTGCTCACTGACTTCACCTCAGGTTCTACGTACCACATTGAGGTAGGATACACAGTTCAAGATTCAAAACTTTATTACGATAAAAATGTAGCTAATGGAAAACATAACAACCACAGCCAAACAATCAAACATGTATGCATCATTTAAAAAAGCTTTTGTAAAAGGATGATACAGTGTGTATATATATTTATTTATTTATATTTATCAGATGCACACCCAAGCACCAACAATCTCTGTTTGTCTCATAACAAACATCATATATGTTCAATGTGGATGTGGCTAGCGAACACAGATCCCACAGGACCAGACTATTCTCTTGATCTGGCTGAATACTGGTAATTGATCCTGATTGCATTATTAATCAGGTAAACAGATCTATGGATCAGCTTTGGCTCTTTCCACTGTCTGTTGTCACTGAGCTTGAATGTGATCGTGCTTATTAGTTTTCAGAATTCATTAACCCACAATGACCTTCATACAAATGGACTCTGAGAGACTGACACACACCGTGATTATACCTGCACATACTGTATTTGTGTGTGTGTGTGTGTGTGGGGGGGGTATCATATTACTACATCTACACACCTGTGAGTGTGTTGGTCCACTAAACCATGTACCGAGCCGAGCTCATGAGCAACTTCTTTATTCAGCTTTGGCCCATATATGTTATTAATACCTGAGCAGCAAAAATCATACATATTGTAAGCTGCAACAGATCGCCATCTTAACTAGTCTATTTGTCTATTATTTCTTCCGTATTTTCCAGTTAACAAAATCACAATCACAAATACACAATAGGATGAGCGTATTTCACCTGGTTGCTCCACAAGTATTTGAGAATCAGGTTAATATTTGATAAAAGCGCGGAAATCTCACCTGTCCTGTTTCAAGTAATTGAAACTTGTTCCTAGAAAAATCTGAAAACATATAACTGCACTGTAAACAACAGGAATTAACCTCTTGGCCTATTGTTTTAAGTATTGACAGCTAGATATGAGACACAATAACCATCACAAAAACTTTTTTTTATAGTGTCTTTGTGGACAAAAAACTAAACTAAGATTTGATGTGTGAAGTGAGAGGTGTTTATGTTCCTTTTGTTATAAGCCAGAAGTCAACAGTTGTTGAAAAGCATTTAGAAATTGGCAATCCCCCGTCGCCTTGCTGTACCAAAAAGGAACCGAACTGAAAACCATGACCCTCAAAACCAAGATGTGAACTGCTCCTCCCCTCTGATATGACTAACCACCTCTCACGTAGAGGTAGGAAGAAGAGGCTGGCCTGATAGCACCACTGAATGTGGTGAGCGAGGCGGCTCTCTTTAGTACTGAACAAGCAGTATCAGCGCCCCCACAGAGGGGATCTTATTCCATGTATAATTGGCCCCATCTCTGAAAACAGTGAGTGGTCAGAATGCACAAGCTATATGAACATTAAGCAGGAGATACAGGCTTCAGTTTGCCATAATTACCCCACAATTCAGGGGAGTAATTCAGTCACAAGATTGCTTTATACGGGAGATTTCTTCCCTGTTAGAAAAAGGAATTATCCCTCCCAAACATAGTTGGAGGAAACATATTTCCTGCTTCCCAAGAAGGGAGGATGCAGCATATATGCATTTTTATAAACAAGCACCTCAGAAAATACAAATTCAGGATGATCGTGCCGTGTTTTCTTCCGCCTGCTGGTTCAATCGACCTCAAAGGTGTTTGTGTAGGAAAACGGACCAGTTTCTTCTGTCTTGGGCTAAGAAGCACTTGGGGAAGCCAGTCTCAAAGCAGTAGCGCTCTCGCTGTATTGTGGGGACTATTGCTTTAGCATATAGCTCTAAGGGTTTGCAGCCACCTGCTTGCACATTCTACTAGGGGTCTCACCACCTCATGGGCTCCTTTCAGAGGCATCTCCATTCAGAAGAAAAGATGTAGGCAGCAAGAGACTGATATCTGTTTACATACTGTTAACACACCAGCTGTATAATGTTGTAACATTGTTGTTCGTGTGTTACTGGGATCACTGCATCACCTCTAACAGAGTTTTGTTACAGTTGTGATCAATGCCTGAGATTAGCACCTAATCGGGATCTGATGACTGCCCTATCGACAGGAACATGAATTAATAATTATGCCAACGCTCTCTCTCTTTTCCACTAGGTAGCAGCCATATCTCCAGCTGGAATAGGAGCCTTCAGCAAATCTTTATACATAAAGACTGCTGAGTCCCGTGGGTATTCATGCACACACACGCATAATTATCTCAAGCTCTGAAGCAGTAATTTACACTAATGGCGTGTGTGTGTGTGTGTGTGTGTGTGTGTGTGTGTGTACATTAATTGCTGTGTGCATTTCCTACAGCCCCTGGCCTGGTGACCAACTTGACAGCATTTGCTCAGAACCACACCTTCGTCGTGGTTACCTGGTTCCTGCCGCACCGCATCAATGGCCTTATCACAAAGTTTGCTGTCAAGGCGAAACACGCTCGTACTGGGCAGACTGTCCGCATGCTGGAGGTCAATGCAGAGGACATCATGACCGGAGCACTGCCTCACTGCAATGTACTTCATTATACCGTCACCCCCTGTCTTCTTAAGTGAACTATTATTGTAAAATGTTCTTTTTCTGTCAGGATTATAGACGCTACCAAGGCACAAGGCAGACCATCTGTACAAAATGAGGCTAGAAATTACTGAATACTTTTCCCTCTGTGTATGTTTGGTATGTCTAGGATGCAGCCGATATCCTGTCCCGTGCGACTCTTAGTCCCTTGGAGATTACAGCATCGTCTCCACCCATCACCCTCTCCGCCGTGCCCCCTGCAGCCTCCTGGAGTGTGCCCATATCAGTAGGAGTTGATCAGCTTCGACCTTACACCGCTTATCTATTTGAAGTGTCTGCCTTCACCTCTGATGGAGAGGGACAGATAGCCTCCACTATGGTCCGTATGCCAGAATCAGGTGTGGGAAAAAAAGGAGCAAACCAGGCTGCAGTTTTGGTTTAATTTGTGAATTAAAGTGTTATTTGTATGTGCAATGTTTACTGCATGTATAAAAATCTGTGTGTTTGTGTATGACAGCCCCTGAGGACCCACCACAAAACTTTGTATTAAATATGACGTCTCGATCAATCTCCGTGTCCTGGAGCTCTCCCAATATTATCACAGGAAAATTCACCTACATGCTCTACCTTTATGGACCTACAGGTTATTAAAAACTAACTCTTGTTCTCACTTGTGCATAAACAGACTCAAACTCTAAATTGATAAATTGACAAATCCAAACAATTGTCTATTTCTTCTTCATCCCAGGATATTTGTATGAGAACAGCACAGGGGACATGAGGTTTGTATTTACTGGTTTGACCCCCTACACAAGGTACACAGTGGCCGTCCGAGCCAAAGCTGCTGGAGAAGTGGGTCCAGCAGCGCAGGATGATGTAATTACACCTGCTGAAGGTGAGGAGAACACTCATGTACTAACTTATGTAATTTAGATCTGGGTTGCAACTGATAATTATTTATTATCATATATTATCATTATCATCCAGTAGTTCTTGATTAATTGAGGTATTGTTTTGTGTATTAAATGTGAGAGGATAATTTCCTAGAGCCCAAAGTGAGGTCTTTAAATAACTTGTTATGTTCAACCTGCAGCCTGAAACCAAAAGATACTCACTCACAAGGAAGTGAAACAGATCGAAGTAGCAAATCCCTACATTTGATAATTTGGAGCCAGTGATTGTTCAGCGGTTTGCTTGAAAATTGACTCAGATTACTTTTCTGTTGATTGGCTAATACTATAGATGAATCAAGTAATGCTTTCAGTTTAGTATTAAAGCTACTGAGAAGTCTGAATATGTGGTGCCTTGTGAGCATGTGAGTGCTTATTTATCCATATACGTCTGTGTCTCTATTTGTCTGTTGAGTAGCACCCAGTGCAGTGCAGAACTTGGTGGCAGTAGCTGAGGATTCAGTTTCAATCCTTGTGAGTTGGAGAAGTCCTGCTCAACCCAACGGCTTGATCACGCAGTACAGATTGCAGGTTCTGGTTGACAACATACTGCTGCAGGACATCATCCTCACGGCAGAAGTGGTAAGACAGACGTTGCAGCTCTGTATAGCCACCATGAATGTATTCCATCACAGTGCTCAGTACTGCTGAAAATTCAGTGTTAAAACATGAGCCTACTGACAAGACTGTACCAAATTGGACCATTAATACTTAGGTATTGCTCATATTAGAGAAAAAACTTGTGAAGACCACTCTTGGTCATTTTTAGGGGCTGGACATTATATACCATACCCACCTGTAAAATCCATTAGACTTTCCCTCTAAAAAAACGTGTGAACACATCCAGTTTACAGGGGCACTGAATAAACTCTAATTTTAAGCTTGTGTCATCAGCCTTTACAGTATGATGTAACCCAAAGTAAAAACACTGCAACAGCCTCGTAAATGAACATATTGTTCAACAGTTCTCTCCATTTCTCATCAACTGTTGTTTCTAAGCTCTACAAAGGTATATTTGTACTGTACAGGTGGTCCTTTACATGCTCCTCAATACACTGACAAATTTCTACAATCATTGGGACTAAGATAAAACCATGCTCATATGCAACCTGTAAGCCATGTCCGCAGCCTGCTGATGTCCATTGATTCAAGTAGACATTGCCAAAATGGTTAAGAATCATTGCTTTTACACTGCACCCAACCAGAAGAACTATAGAAAAAAAAACAACAGAATATAAATTTTTTTCCCCTTCAGAATACAACTAGTATGGATGAAGATGAGACACTTCCCCCTGATGTCCATAACAATCCAGGGCGACGTAAGAGATCTGCTGAGCTCAGCCTGATCACATCACCGCCAACTTTCACAGCCACTATTTCTGATCGCACGCTGCCCACTACTGTGACTACTTCCAGCCCCACACACTCCAATGATCAAATCAGTAACACCGATGCTCACCCAACTGCAGACTCCACAATCACTGAGGAGCCCAGCACCAGTTATACTTCTGCTTCACACTCTAACAGCACACATTTTCAGCCTAATGACTCTGCAGTCGTTGAGACCTCTGAATTTGCTTTTACCTCTGTGCCACCTGCTACACCTCCACCCTGGCTGACGGAGCAATCTCATACTGGGGTTATGACCTCAGATTCCTCCCCATTACCCCTGACCCCAGGCCAGCTTCGCTTGTCCACGCATGATGCATCGATTACGGGACACTTATCAACACGCAGTGCGGCGGCTTCTGGTACTACAGGTGGGAGGGAATTATAAACACTCCTTTGAGGATTTTTGTCTGCTCCAGTTCTTATAAATCCTGTGAGCGCGTGTGTTCTTGTGTATCCATCTGTGTCTGCATGCATGTTGCAGGTGTAACAGTGAGAGAGGAGATGGTGGACGTTTTCTCTGAAGAATTATCTTACCTGGTGTACGATCTGAGTCCCTTCACCGCTTACACGTTCAGGGTCACCGCTTCTACAACTATGGGGGAGGGTCCTGCAGCAAATATCACTGAGCAGACCAGAGAGCAGGGTGGGTGGTCAAATGTTGCAATGATCATTAATATATAAAATAACTTGTGAAAAGGCCTTTAAAAGATGCAAAACTTTAAAATAGGTCTTTATCCTTAATAATCTCTTGTACTGTATGTGTTGTTTAGTCCCTAGCTCAGTGCTTGACGTGTCCTATCAAAACATCACCTCCAACTCCATACTAGTGAGCTGGGTCCCACCACTCAACCCCAATGGACTGATCACACATTACACTGTCTATGGTCTCAAACTGCACAGTAATCAGGCTCTCAAGTGGGTTACTAACACCACCAGCATACTGATAACAGGTATAGTAATCACCTTTTCTGCACAGTTCTATGCAGCCATTATAATTATTCTAATACAGGTCAGTTGCTAAATATCTCTGTTCTAATGTATAGATCTGGACAAGTATACTGGTTATAAGCTACGTGTAGCTGCATCGACAGCTGTGGGAGAGAGCTCTCTGTCTGAGGAAGATGACATCTTTGTTTTCACCTTAGAGGATGGTATGTGTTGAACGCAAATAAGAAAATAATATTTAATATATAATACTTAGATGATGATTGTTTGATCAAATAAAATAACAATACATCCGTCATGGATTAAAAAAAACATTTAAATTAAAACTGTAATGTTAAACTACAGAAAAAAGTCAGAGCATTTAGTGTTGAGTTTGTGCAGCTATTTTACCTTGTTGAGTTGTTGTGGGTGCCCAGTGCGCGGCATGCACCTCACACTGGGCACCAACAAAACAATCAATGTCAGTGAATGAATGTCAAATTGATATTAAATGTGAAACATTTCATCAAAATTACACAGTAGTTGTTTAATTACCTATTTAGTGTGATGGTAGATCAGTTAGATCAAGGATCTCAAACTCCGGGGACATCATGTTAAATATATAATATAATTTGGGGTAGCCGGTTAGCATGTGCTGAGGCCGAGTCCTTGCTGCAGCGGCCCAGGGTTCGAGTCCGACCTGCGGCCCTTTGCTGCGTGTCGTCCCCTCTCTCTGCCCCCCCTTCCTGTCCATCTTCAACTGTCCCTATCAAATAAAGGCAATAAAAGGCCAAAATATATATATATAATATAATTCGGCCCACAAATTTTTTTTTTTCTAGTTGTTTCATATCAAAACCCCTTCATATACAATAAAAAATAACATAGGCAAAGTTCAAAAGTGCCTGAAAATGTGTGCTAGAAGAAGGCGATTTATTTGTTGTTTGGCTGCAAACAAAAAGATTATATAAAATTATATTATAAAAATGTATAGAAACTGCTGTTTGCAGGTTGTTGTTAAGTAGGATGTTTGTAATTGAAATATATATTTTTTGTAGTACCTGAACGTTGAAGTGGCCCTATGGGATTACAATATAAGCAGTGGCCCAAAGCCTATCTGAGTTTGAGACCCCTGAGTTAGATTGTTTGAATGTTTGATTTTCATTATGTTTCACTTGATGACGTGTCAGTTAAATCACATTTTATTCAGTGAAATCTCTCGCTAGGATCTTTCTTGTCAATCTGATCCTTAGAGCCTGAATCCCCCCCTGTGAACCTCATTGTGGATGAGACCAGCCCCTCCACTGCCACACTGGTCTGGTCTCCACCAGAGAAAGCCAATGGGGTGATACAACGTTACGAGGTCCTGTATGAGAACGAATCCTACTCTGCGCTGATGAACACGTCCTCTAACAGAGTCACACTGATGAACCTGAAACCATTCTCCTACTACAATGTGTCTGTGAGGGCATACACGCGTTACGGCCACGGCAACCAAACGTCGGACACTTTATACCTGCTGTCTGGAGAGGATGGTGTGTTGATGGTTGCACCCACGCAAATTAACACATACAAAAACCTTTAGTAACAATATGAACTGTTCAGATTTTAGTAAAATGCTTCTTCTTGTGTTCTCCCTTCAGTCCCAGGCAGTCCTCCATATGGCGTTACTTTTGAGTCGGTCAGTCCCAGCGAGGTGAACGTGACCTGGCAGCCTCCTCTGCTGCCTAACGGGGTCATTACTCACTACAGCCTGGAGCTCTGGAATTCCACTCACTACCTAAACCTCACCTCCCCGACCAACTACATTCAAATCACGCACCTGAGGAAGTATGCACAGTACCGCGTCATGGTGCAAGCGCACACACGTGTCGGGCCCGGAAACTACAGCAGCGAGCCGCTCAACATCACCACACTGGAGGATGGTGAGAGGGACGGGTGGGAGGGAAGAGGAAAGGGGAGGGTTTATTTTCAGTTCCAGCACACTGCATGATTACATCATGGTCGAGTTCGAAGGGCATCTGATTAAATCTGACTTTCCTCTCGTCTTTTCCTCCTCACTTACATCTCTCTGTTTCAGCTCATGCTAATGATGTTACATCACAGGTATTTGATGCCACATGACATCTGGATTGAGAAGAACAAACAAAGAGAGTCATTAAAACTAACCAGTTTTTCATTTCAGGGCAATACTCTGTTCCCGAGGGGGCCTGTGAGGGTCTTATTTGCTCAGTGCAAAAATATGTTTAACTATCACCCTATCAGTTCTGTCTCTGTACTGAAGGGCCTAATTCTGGTTGTATTATCACACTGGAAAGTCTTTCTCCTGCATCTCAGCTCCAGACACACCTCCTCAGTTCCTCCATTCCAGGAAGTTGTCAGACTATGAGGTAGAGTTGACATGGCAACCACCACTGGAGGCCAATTCAGACATACTCTACTACATTGTCAGAGTTTGGTGAGTTTCTTAATCTACTCCTTTCTGTCTTGACTCTCTGTTGAGAGAGAACACATTGCAACATAAATGGTTGCTCTCTTTTTCAGGAACGAAACGACTGAGCTGTGGCAGAATGTGACACAGACATCAGTGGTTATTAGTGTAGACTCAGAGAGTCGCTACAATGCTTCTGTCTCCAGCTGGACCAGACTGGGAGACGGAGGAGTGCTGATCTACATCAGCTTTACCACCACAGATGCAGGTGCTGGATAATTGGTTAAGGATTTTTGACAGATAACTCTATCGTCCTCACATACAAAATATTTCATCACCATGCATATGTATGAAGTTCATTTTTGTCTGGCTGTCCTTTGTGTTTCTGCTCCCTGGCTTTTCAGAACCATTTGACCCCCCACAGAATGTGACTTTTGTAAATGTGACCACCTTCTCGGTCACCTTATTGTGGCACCCGCCTACAGAACCTAATGGAATCATTATACATTACACTATTTACTACTCCGATAACAACACTGTGACTGAGCAGGTAAGATACTTATACTTTTATTTTTGTGTCTTTTGGTCATAATTTTGTTTTTCTGGCTCACAATTTAATGTTTTTGTTCACTCTCACTGCTCCCATTAACCTTGATTCCATCAGCAAGCAGTTGTTTTCAGCAAAACAAATACTCACCGTACACTACCTGCACAGCACCAAATAGTAAACAGGCAAAGTTAGCGACTAGCTGGTGAACAGTGGAGCATTTAACCGCTAAAGAGCCACATATTAATTTTTTCATAAATAGCTAACACTAACGAATAGCAAATTGCAAACATTCACCATTTCAACTTAATAATGCGATACTATGTCAGTGTTGCGTTGACAGGTAATTCTGCTGCCCCCAAGTGGCCAAAAAAATAATACCGCTCTAAAAAAAGGAACATAATAACTGCTTCCTAGCGGCTCTTGGTAGAACAACATCCGGCCAAAAAACTTAATGGTGTTTCTTTTTTTGTCAGAAACGTTTCAATGTGTGAAGGTAACCCTGACACTCTTTTCCTCCATAGAGGGTTCCAGTTTCAGATTTACCTTCCCCTGCCTCTCCTGATTCAGCCCTCTTCTACACTCTGACTCGGCTGACTGGGGGCACAAACTACACCCTGTGGATGACCTCCAGCACTGTGCAGGGGGATGGAGGGGTCCAGAGCGAGCCACTAACCCTGTTCTTACCAGAGGACGGTCAGTCACACACACACACACACACACACACACACACACACACACACACACACACACACACACACAGGCAGTCTAACACAATCCCACACACACCAAAATAAATTAGTGAAAAAGAAGTACTATGCCAGATAATTACTGACTACAATGATTCAGAGTCTCACTGGAGGGCAAGTCAGCACACTTTTTTCGCAACTATTCAACTTTCAACTTTCAACTAAAATTACATAAAAACTCTGTGATTGAAGACGTAACTTTCAGCCTGTTTGTTAAAGGAGATAACAGTCGGTCTGGCAAACTGGCTCTATTTTCGTCTGCCTGTGACACCAAGTTTGTGTTTCCTTTTACTAAGCACGTCGAAAGTTGTGAGAGATTAAAATACTGCCAGAGAAAGAGAGTGCAGAACCGCTTCCAATATGATGACACAGAGAAAAAACAAAGCCTGACATGCTTTGAGAAACGTCATGCTGTGCTCGTGCTACAATTGCATTGTTGCCATGAAAACCAAAATTTGCATCTAGTATTTAGTTGCACTTAGTCTGTTTGATATCTTCAATGAAAAAAGTGAAGTGTACATAAAGCTGAATCTCTCTGTTTTTATGTGATTTTGGGAAAAATGGTGCAGACGGCCGCGACAAACTGTGTCACATTCAGTACATATTCGTATGTTGTGTTTTATTTTTTTCTTGTCAACATTTTGCTTGTGAAGTATTCTCTGTCTCTGGATGATTACTGCTCATACTGACTCTGTATCTCTGCCTGTGCTCTAGCTGCTCCACTCTCTGCACAAGCACCGGACCTCCAGGGCACCTTGTCTCTCCCGTACAACCAAGCCCAGCAGGGGCTCACTCCCCTGGGCTCAGACCCCCACTCACACCTGGCCCCTCACATCCACTCATTCATCTTATGGATGTCTCAAGTTTTATCTCCCCTTTCCCCTTCATCTCCCCCTTTTTTCTACTTTGTGTATCATGCCTTACTTTCGGAAGGGGCAGAGATGATGAACAGGATGAGTATTTTCTCCTCAACCCCTTTCCTTCCCAAGGTTTTCAGTGTGCGAATTTCCATCCTAAATGCCTCTGTATGTCTCTGAATGTTCCTTTTTATAGGATATTGTTTCTGTGTCTGTTTACTGTACTTGCTGTGTTTCTGTATTACTAAAGTAATATCATGCCCTATTGTTCTACTTGATGTGCTGTTGCTGATTTTGTTAATTACAATAATGCTGTCAGTGATTATGAAGGTGCTAGTGACAGCTGATGATGATGATGATGATGACTGGTGTACTGTTTTTTTCCCTCAAGCGTCAGAGTGTGTATGGTTGATTGATGCCCCAATTTACTGCCTCATTGTATAGTAAACTCACTTCAAAAGGCTTACAGTTGTCAACCATTGTTGTCAGTGAGAGTTAAAAATAGTAACACTATTCTGCTTGTCTCCCTTTTCAGTGCCAAGTGACTCAGTGCGAAACCTGACTGCTCAGATCTTCAGCTCCACAGCTATCATTGTCAGCTGGGACCCTCCCATGGAGCCAAACGGCCGCCCCTACTACCTGCTCACCTTACAAGAGGCCGGCGTCCCCCCAAATTTATCCAACCAAGGCACTCCAGCTGTCAACAAGACTATCAAGCATACCACAACTGATAGTGTCTTCCTATTCACCAGACTCAAGAAATATTTCCCTTACGTGCTGACTGTTACTCCGGCAACAGGCGCTGGCCCTGCCTTCAACCATACCAGCACAATGTACCTGAGAACGGATGATGATAGTGAGTTTATCTACACACATTTTCACTCATGGTTTGGTTCATATATTTAATGTGAAACTGCTTCTCTTTAGTTCCTAGTTCTGCTCCAGTGCTGTTGTCCGCCAGGAATCTGTCATCGTCCTCTATCGCAGTGGTCTGGCAGCGCCCTCTTGAGGCCAACGGAGAGATAACAGAGTATACCCTCACTCTGTTCGGCTTAGTGGGCTCCAACACAACGCATACCCCCAACACCTCAATCATCCTCACCGACTTAATTCCATACACAGCTTACAACCTCACTATTACTGCTGCAACGCGTAAAGGATCAGGGCCATATCTGCTGGTGCAGCTGCGCACTGATGAAGGAGGTTAGTTTGAAAGCAGGTTTCTCTAATATCCTCAAGAGATGGTATTATTTATGAAATGGTGTGTGTATATCTACTGTCTGTTTCAGTCTATCTTCTCTGTCTGCTTAACGTTTTGTGTTTCAGGCCCCATGTCCCCTCCCCGTAACCTGACTATATACAACCACACATCGGTCTCTGTGTGGCTGAGCTGGGAGCCTCCTCTGGAGCCCAATGGAGTGGTGATACAGTACGGCTTCAGGATCCGAAACCTCATCACACAGGCCGTCACACACAGGGTACCCTTAATTTCACACACCGAAAGCTACTCCACAATAACAACAACACACACACACACACACACACACACACTTACACACATTCCAGAGACCCACTCAGTAAGAATACGCACTGTCACACGGACCATAGCTCTAATTTCACACTCCAGATACCACTCAGCGGTAACATTATACATACACACACATGCACATATGTGTTCTGATATAAAGACATTATCCACTCTAATAATCAAGATTGGATTATTTGATCTCCTATTTGTGATTTTTTTTTCGTGTGTGTGTATTTGTTTTTGTGCACAAATGTAGAATTCCTCCGGTCCGTTGACCACTGAGCACCTATCAGGCTTCAGGCCTCATAGCTCCTATGAGATCAGTGTTTACAGTTACACCAGAGTGGGCCATGGGAACCAGTTCAGCAGCCCGGTGACCTTCACGACTAATGAGTCAGGTAAAGTACAAAAGTCTACACACAAGGGATGTAGTGGTTCAGAATCCACTAGTCTTGAAAACTATGACTTGTGCAGTGTAATAAATTCAACTCAGAATATCTTATTTATCCCTTAAAGGATAAGTGTGTAGGAAGTGAAGTTGCTGATTGCAACCATTTGAATACAGCTCAGCCTTCCAAGCGTGTATTCAGCTATTGTCCTTTTAACAAAGTAAATTAATCAAAAAGTTCCAGTACTTTTAATAAAAGATTTGTAAGACATTGTTGGTATCCTACAATCAGCTTTAGAGACAGTGGAGATGTTGCTGAATTTGTTTCATGAAAACATCTGTATGTCTTTGTGAGAAAGGCACGGCAGTATAGCACAAGACAAGCTGAATGTGATTCCCCTCAGAAACAGCAAGTCATTACAGCAGAGTTGCTGGCTATGCAACCGTGATTGAGAGATAGAGTTTATTTGTTTTGTTTTCATGTGAAATATGTACCAGGATTTATAATGAAAAACTGTCAAGTTTGCCTACAGACTGCATATTTGTTTCCACTGATTGTGTGCAAAAACTATGTGTGTAGCAGCCTAAACAAACATTGAAATTGAATTTGGTTCTTTTCTCTTACAGTGGATGGTTAAGAATTCTATCTAAAGCTAATGCTACTATAACAATGTTGCTGTCTCACCTCTATGTCTGCAGTGTCTGATGCTGTGGGGAACCTGTCTTGCTCAGGAGTGAGCTGGGATTCAGTTCAGCTGTCTTGGGAACTTCCGGCCAACCCTAATGGGCAGATTCTTTTTTATGAGATTCTGTTGGAGGTAGACTTGCAGTCCTACACACTCCAGGCTTACACACCAGAGTACACAGTGACTGGGCTGTCACCAGACCAGGGATACGCACTCACTGTGGCTGCAGTCAACTCCGCAGGACCAGGAGACAGAGTAAACTGTACTGCTTCCACTCTCTCTGAATCAGGTAGCCAGTCTTATCATAATGGATTGCATTTTAACTGCTAACATAAAGTAATACGGAATTAATACGTGCTCCTCTTTGTCTCCCTTAACAGTCCCAGCTGCTCCTCGCCTCCTCACTATCTCTCAGGTCACACCTAACAATGTGACACTTCAGTGGGCTCCACCGCTCTCCATCCCAGGCCTGCTGAAAGAGTATCACATCATTGCACAGCTGCTTTCAACTGTTTGTCAACCAAACATACTAAATACTCCGCAGCCGGCCCCAGAGGATGAACTGACCTCAGGCTGCGTGGACTCTAATGTCACGGTGTCGGTGAATGCCTCGGATGGCACAGAAGAGAACCACAGTGTCACACTCCAATCCCTGGCTAAATACAGACACTACCGCTTCAAAGTGGCTGCTGTGACCAATGCTGGAGTTGGCGAATATACACACTGGAATTATGCACGCACCCTGGCTGGAAGTAAGAAAATCACAGTGATGATATGACCTTTGTGTGTTGCCAGGGGAGAGTTGGCAGTTAGTCAGTTAGTTAGTCATACTGTATCTGACCTCCCCCGGAGGGGGTACTAATGTATGCAGAGAAGTCTCTAGTATGTTCAGTATCTGAAATAAAAATGATAAAAAAGGAATAAAGGAACCTTATTTTTAAAGTAGTTAGCCACAGATGTAATTAAAACCATTTCACTTATGTTAATAGCACATATTAAGCACTCTGTGTTTATCCCCTCCCTCAGACCCGGATGCTCCTCCCCGTGACTTGAATGTGACCCCCACCTCCAACGGCCTTCGCATCGCATGGGGCGCTCCAGCTGTTCTCTCTGGACCAACTTCGTACCTAGTGCAGGTCACCTCGTTTAGTTTCATTTTTGCAGACACAAACATAATTAGATGTTCTCAGAAGATCTGGTCAACATGGTGTTAAACATACAGTGCGGTGAAATGCAAACAATATGAAATTACTCCAACTTTACTTATTCACATGCAAGTATTAAATCTTTCCATGAATCCTGTTGTCATACCAGGTGGATGGTCCCGATTTGAACATCTCAACAGTCCGAGCTCCAGGAGAGTTGACGACTGTCGTTGTGACTAACTTGACTGCTTTCACTCGTTACTTTGTGACTATCACTGCCTTCACTGGTCCATTGGAGCAGGCCGCCAGCGATGGGAAGGCCATTGGGCCTATTGAATTTCAAACACTGGAAGAGGGTATGTTGAATTGTACATGTTGGAACACCTTTGACAGCTGCTGCCCACCTGTAAATATAACCAAATATCTATTATTATCATATATTATTATTGCTACTCTGTCCACAGAACCCAAAGACCCTCCCAAGAACGTGATTGTATCAATCATCCCAGAGGAAGTGAACCGTGTGAAGGTGACTTTTACCCCTCCAGAGGAGCCCAATGGAAACATAACTGCCTACTTTGTGTACATCTACGAAAAGGATCAGCTTGTCAAGAATGTCAGCCTTAATATCACCCAAAGAGACCAAAACATGATGACTGCTGTCATAGAGGGCTTAAAGGGAGGACACAGCTACAGTATACAGGTGAAAAACACACTCTCGTTCACACACAGGCATGCACATTCAGACACACACCTGGAGCTGTAACTCCAGATGGCCCCTGATCAGATGGTCATTTAATCATTAGTTCAAGTATAGTTGCTTTCTTTAACTACTTTCTGTGTTTGCCTCTCTTTCTGCTGTCTTCCTTCCTTTCTTCTATCTGTCTGTTTGTAGATTTCAGCAAAGAACGGGGCTGGTAGGAGTCCACCCAGCCCACATGTCCAGATAACTACGGGGATCAAAGGTACAAGCCCCTCTTCTTCGGGCTCTGCACTGTTCTACAGAGTTTCTCTCTTTCTTGTTGCAGCAGTGTACTATAGGAGATAGGAGACAGCACTTATGGCTCAGTACAACAGAATGAAGGGCTGGTCTGACACAGCAAATGTAACTCAGTAATATTGTCAGATGTGTGTTCAGGATGTTCAGAGCATGGGCCTGCTTGTCATGTTTTATATATAAATGCAACAGAATAAATCTTCACAAATACTGTATTCACACTTCAACCTGTGTGTGTGTGTGTGTGTGTGTGTGTGTGTGTGTGTTTGCTCCTCTGTGCTCCTCTGTGCTCACACGTGCGTGTTCCAGCCCCGTCCAAGCCAACCCAAAGACCCCAGGCAGTACTGGGCCATGGAGGGGTTGCCATGGTAACCCACAGGAGTATCACCATTCGCATGCCTGCCTGTTTCTATAGTGACGACAATGGACCAATCACAAAAATTCAGGTCATCGTGGCCGAGTCAGGGGGTATGACTCTTCAAAAACATTGACATCCATCACTTTTCAGTTGAATACACTTGGGTATCAGTCTTGTTTGTGCTTTAAGCCTCAAGTAGAATCTCGTTTTACAGTACGTCACTCTGTCCTAAGCTCACAAAAGACAAAATGTAAGCAAAAGCCAAAGGGTTTAACGTCAGCAGAAATTTGACTCACTTCCTTTCCCTCTCTAACTTTCATCCTGTCACAGTGAAGGACATCCAGAACCTGACCAACTGGAAGAATGCGTTTTTTCATCGCCCTGCCCCTTACCTGACTGACAAGGGGTTCCCCAACCCGCCATGTGACAGGGCATCACGCATGGACACACGCGTCAGAGGTGGTCGGAGTGTGTCTGAAGGAGTCCGGTCCCTGGTGAGGCAAAATATCACTACGGCAGGAACGTACATCATCGGAGAGAACGATGAGTGTATGATGGAGAACAACACTGATAATTTCTGCAATGGACCTCTGAAGCCTAACACAGTCTATGTGTGAGTGCAACACTCACATAACAACTTTTGTATATACATGTGTTTTATAATAATATAATGCTGACACTGGGCTGTTGTTTAACCAGGTTCAAGTTCAGAGCCACTAACATCAATGGCCAATCCACAGACTCTGAGTACTCAGACCATGTCAAAACTGCAGGTATCTATCATCCATGTATTACTCAACATCAAAAAGTGAAAAGAGAACCTGTATTGCCTTTGTTGTTGTTACCCAGTCTGTCTCATCTCCCTCCCTCTGTAGTGGACGGGCTGTTGACCAGAGATGAGCAGATCATTCTGGGAGTTCTGCTCTCCTTCTTCTTGTCTGTGTTACTCATCATCATCATCTGTGGCTCAGTCAAGTAAGATGGCAACATGCATTCATTCATTCAAAAATGCAATGCTGTATAAATATGGCAATTTGCATGATTTCCTTTTTTATTCATTGTAATTCTTTGTTTGATTGACATTTCAGGATCCATCAGCGCAAGAAGGAGGGCGGGACTTATTCACCCAGAGAGGCAGAGATCATAGAAACCAAGTGTAAACTGGATCAGCTGATTGCTGTGGCCGATCTGGAGCTGAAACAAGAAAAACTCAACCGGTTAGTCTGTGTGCTTAGTTTTAATCTAAATGTGTTGTTTTACTGAGTATAACACACACATTTTTGGCAGCTGAAGCTGAGTGCATACTACATGACTTCGGGCTTCATTTAGCTGCTCCAGACAAGATTTTAAATCTAAGTCAACAAGACAAAAATCTCTTTGCTGCAGCCAACTTGATGCACGCTCCTGTCAGCACAAAATCTTCTAGAGTTGTAGAGTTCGTGCAGAAAATAGAAGCAGCAGCACTACGAAACAACACAGCATCACTGAGGCTTTATAGTCTATCTTCAGTTCTCTGCAGAACAGACAAGTCATTCTGTCTGCATCACTCCAACCATCCTCACATACAAATTCATCATCTAGCTTTTCTGCTTTTCTGTTTTGGCACAAACAAGTGCACAGACAATAAGTACTGCAAGCTGGTGAGAAATTATGTCAAATTCAGTGTTAGTGTTGGTGTATCAAGGTCACTGATGAGGGGAGAAACTACAAGAAAGAAAAGCTTTTGTCTTTTTATTTGCCAGTATAGATAGATGTCAGTATTGGAGTGTATAAAGCTTTCTGAACACTTTCCCTCCCCATCGTCTAACTAATTCCCACATAAAGACAAAATAAAGAATGGAACCAAAAAGGTGGGGTCCACGTAGGTGAAATATGGCTGCCTTCAAGAGGAACTGAATGAACAGGAACATTAAAAACATAAAACCCACATGAGAGAAAATGAATAAATAAAAGCGCTTCCACCTGGCAGATAACTGTTCCTTATCTCTTATGTGTAAAAAGTGATATAACTGCCCTACTTGAGCAAATATTTGCCAGCCTTATTGAACATCTAATATGACATTTCTTCGTAGGTCTGAAAAAGGAGTTCTGAGTTCCTGATAATAATTTGCTGTCTGCACATTTTATCTGTTTCACACACTGCTCAAACGAAGACTGTTGGTTTTTGACAGTTGCATTTTGTGCTCACCATTAAGCTGCTCCAGCTGTCCTGTACATTCAAATTGATTCCATTAGGACAGTGTGTGTCTCTCTGCTTTGTTGTGACCAGAATCTCTTCATGACTCCGACTATGGGCTAATATCTGTATGAACCACCTTTCTAAGCACAGTTTATGTTGAAATAACACACTTTTCCTTGTTACTTATCACGTGAATGGCACAAATAACTTCCCTTGCTCCCTGACACCTGCATTTACTTGCTTTGTTTTTCTCTCAACAAGCACTTTTCTCTCACCAGGTACTCTTCCTTCTTCTTTAGACGGAAAGAGATTTATGTGATTCAGTAAGTTGAAACTTTTGAACTGTGTGTGAGCCACTTCATGTTGTGTGTGCTTTGTTTGCATGATGTACTCCACTTTGTGTGTGTCATCATCATGTTACCCATTAAGACTCATCAAACCATCCATCTGTGCTGTTTATTAAAACTTTGGTGGAGGTCGACAGTTGAATGAATCAGTGCCATCAGCATTTTGCCGGCAGCCTTCTCCTCTTCCTCCATCACTGGCAGTGATTGCATGGCTGGGCTGACACTCCTCTGCTCGAGACCATTTTAATTTGTTTACCCACTCACTATCTTGAAATTGCTTGGAAGGCTTAGCAGTCTTAGAGGGCACATATGGTAAGCTTTATCGATAGCTAAGGATCTGCACAGTTACAAGTCTTCAGCTATGCAAAGAAAGATCAGCCACAGGGGAAAACCCACAAGCTCCATTCAAGTTTACTGTGTTCACATATTCCTTTAGAATAAAACATCAAAGTCAATGTTTGCTTAAACATACAATGCCACATACTCTCTGCAATGAGGAGCAGTTCAGCTATCATGGACAGAAATACCACAGTGTGGGTTGTGATTATTGAGTTAATTTGTTTATTTTGGCTGATTTTTGGTTTCCTGTCTATTTTTGCCCAGGCTGCTCAGCTACAGGAAATCTCTCAAGTAAGTCATCCTGCATAAATAATGTGAATATGCGCACAGCAGCTGCAGCATGTTCTGTACCAGTCAGTATTACACGTTGTTACCTAGAATAAACTTACAGAAAGATATCCTATTCTTGTGGAGTATTTGTACATCTCTCTCTGTTTTTCACACTCAGTGTATTTCTCTTCTTTCCTCTCTGTCAGGCCTGTCAACAAGAAGTCTTTTCTGCAGCACGTAGAGGATCTGTGTGCCAATGACAATGCCAAGTTTCAGGAAGAGTTTGCTGTAAGTGTTTGCCTACAAGCTGAACCCGTGTTTGGCAAACTTCTGAGAAAATGTAATAATCTTAATAGAGATGAAATAATAGAAAATCACCTGGAATTGACAAAAAACACAACCAAACTGGAGCAACTGGATGGGAAAAAAGTCAGGTACATCACAGAAAACACATAATAAGAAGAACTAAGTGAAGACAGTGAAGATGCATTGAAAGTGATTGGAAACTAAATAAATGCTTTATTTTTGTTCCTCTAACAATGCAAGTATAACATCCTATCAAATAAGCACTTGGAGATAAAATCTTACAATTATTACATTATACATATTGCTTTATTTATTATTTATCATGACCAATGATATATAGTCATTACAAAACACATGTCAGAAGGTGTTCACTTCTGTCTCTCTACTGCAGCCATCTAACACAGATAGGTTACTCTTAACCAACTTAAATGTATCAGTGTTTTTAAAGTCAAAAGAAATTGATAAATTGCTTTAAATTTTTAAGTAGTTTGCAAGTAGGAGTAAAATATATATGTGTTTTCTTTACTTTTATCTTTCACTCAACTTTTACTTTTAGCTGTTTTAAAAATAGGGGCCTTGACCTTTACACGTCTTATCTCTCCAGGATCTTCCAAAACTGCTGCAGGACCTGGCCACCACAGACGCTGACCTGCCCTGGAACAAATCAAAAAACCGATTCCCCAACATCAAACCCTGTAAGTGGTCAGGCTAAAAAAATTTTTTTTGATATGTTATGATACTGACAGTATACCAAAATGAACTCTGTCTGTCTGCTCTAACATTAATTGCATATGGATTTCACCGCCGCTTTGTACATCGCTTCTCTCACTGTTTCTAGACAATAACAACCGAGTGAAACTGCTGTCAGAACCGGGCTCTGCGGGTTCTGACTACATCAACGCCAGCTTTGTCTCAGTGAGTATCAGCTGCTAAAACCCCAGTGGTTAAGATGGATGAGGCTTCCACTTCAGTCATTATGTTATTTGGTATAACATAATATATGATATTTCCTTGTCCTTTTCTGATTTTTTTGGGGACAAACACTTTACTTATTGCAGAAAATAAAATAAAATAAAATAAAATAAAATAAAATAATTTCCTAACAAGCTAATTCAATTTAATTCAGTAAATAATGCTATTCATAATTTCAGTATGTCTGTACGTTACAAATGTCAACCTCTCCTTATTTTTCTGTCCCTAGGGATACCTTTGTCCCAATGAGTTCATAGCCACCCAGGGTCCTCTGCCCGGCACAGTGGCTGATTTTTGGAGGATGATCTGGGAAACAGGAACCCGCACCATCGCCATGCTCACGCAGTGTTACGAGAAAGGCAGAGTGCGTCTTGAAAGATTTGCCACTGATAAGAAATAGCATTTAGAGGACAGGCTGCGCTCTGTTTTGGGCTCAATTACAACTCTGTCATGAGGGGGGTTATATCTGATACAAAGATCTGATTTGTGTGTTTGTGTGTGTGACATTTCAGATTCGGTGCCACAAGTACTGGCCAGAGGACAATAAGCCCATGTCAGTGTTTAGTGACATTCTCATCTCTAAAGTGTCAGAGGAAGTCCTTCCAGACTGGACTGTCAGAACCCTAAAAGTAGAAAAGGTAACTAAACTAATAACAAGTACAACAACAGGTAACTCAATAAAAAACAAACTGAAAGTACTAGATTTTTTACACATTTTGGGAAATGTGCATATACGCTCTCCTGCCAAGAGTTAGATGAGAAGGGTTCCTTGTGCTAACAATGTTCTGGCTCCAGTTTCATATTTACAAATATGAGAGCTGGTATTGTGGTTCTTATCTTACTTACCACAGGCATGTTTCCCAAAATTCAACTATTCCTTTAATTGTGTAAAGTATAATGTAATTACAATTATAGTCCTAACTATGTTTTTAGTTTTATAATTGTAATGTAAACACTGGAGTTTGCATATTATTAAAGTGAACATTTAACTTCCCGTCCTTTGTCTTGTATAAATTCCTCTGTGCAGCACGGGCACTACATTCTGGTTCGCCACTTCAACTACACATCGTGGCCTGAGCACGGAGTCCCAGAGTCCTGCAGCACTCTCATCAAGTTTGTCAAAGCTGTGCGAGCCCACAGGCACGACAACACCACTATAGTGGTCCATTGCAGGTACTGTGGCACATTAGGGGTAGTTTACTGACTCTGCATGAATTATAGTAAGGGCCTTAAAAATAGAAATAAGACTACTTTATTGTTTTTGTTGATTAGTTTTATATTAAGAAATAATTGAATATCCTGTTCTGTTCTATTTAACCCACAAATGGGTTATTAACATCTGAGTAATTTTAAGTGTAATAGAGCAGCAGATGGTATAATGGTGTGTTGTTCTCTAACTGTTCCCCAGTGCTGGTGTGGGCAGAACGGGTGTGTTTATTGCTCTCGACCACCTCATTCAGCACGTCAGAGATCACGACTTTGTGGATATTTATGGCCTGGTTGCTGAACTGCGCAGCGAGAGGATGTGTATGGTGCAGAATCTGGTGAGTTCACATCAAATATAGTGTAGTATAGTGTATTTTATTCCAGTGGTTGAATTTCACAACCCAGAGAGAATAAACAAAAGACAAAAACATGATATCACACAGTGTTTTGTCTTAAGTTGTTCCAGTGGCACTGTAGTGTCCTACTTTTTTCTTCATGGCCTGCTGTGATCCCATCCCCATGAGGAAATATTTTGAAAATTCTCGTTTTGACAAAGGGAATGATCTGGCAGTGGATTAAAGACATATGCTGAGCAGGGTTCCCCCTCTTAAAAACAGCATGAGTCTATCCTAAAATTACCAGATTCAGTCATTACTAATGGTGTGTGTCTGAGTATCTGAAGGAACCCCTCTGCCTACTGCCTGTGCGTCTTCTCAGCATTATTGTTTTATTATTTCTAGATGTCCTGTACATTTTCTTGTGTCCACATTTTGGCTCTGAGGTATGAGCCGCTTGCTATCGGTGAGGCCATGATTCTTTGAGACAGCTGTGTTCAGGGTGCCAGACAACTAGTTATTAGCATAACAGCCCAGTCATATTTTATAACCTCACAAATGTCATTGCTGAGACACCGGAGCACAATACCTTTGCAGACAGCTTTAAATAAGCCCACAATGTCAACCTATTATCTAAAATGCTTATGTGGAAGGGAAAACAAAGGCAGACATTAAAGTTATTGTAGATGTCCATCAGATCTACTTTACTTTCCTTGTTATCCTCTTATGGTTTTATGATAAACTGACAATGAATGACAATTATAAGTAGCATTTAATTTATGTTTTTTCTTTCAAAGAACATTCTTAGATAATTTGATGGAATTAGGGATGTATTAAAACCTAGCCTGACTATTTCTGTTGCTTGTTGTATCTTTGCATTAAAAAATCCACATCCCCAGGTCACAGCAATAAATTGATATGAATGAATCAGAGGTAGCACATACATTTGCTTTAAATACAGCATTAGTAGGTACAAAATGTCAGATGTCATGGCACAGGCAGGACTAGCAAAATAATTTGTTGCCAGGGGATTTAATTACAGTTCAGCCTTACGGCTATACCAGCTACTAGCAGGCGATACATATGATAAAAGCCTTGGTTGCCAACACAAGTAAGGATGCAGGCCTTAACTAACATTCTGCCGTCGCTCCACTCATTCCCTGCAATGTAAGAAACTTGACTGCGTGGGTGAGCCAGCTCAGGTCCTCTTATCGTCGCTCTGCACTGAGCTCAACATTGGTTACAGTTCATTTAAGTTAACAAATTTACACAGATAGAAATAAATCAAAATCCTTCAGGGATGAAGGTTATCTTGCATTGTCCATCAAGGTCCAAATGAAAGACTTGTTTTGTGCATTCATCTGAATAATTCCACTCTCAATTGTCTATATCTGTCCACTCAGCCAGAGAAGTACGCTAATGAGCATGCTCTATGGGCCAAAACACACAGAAGCCTGAGGAAGTCTGAAATGTATTTGATTTGAATGAATGGTGCACTATCTTGAAACATCGTATCAAGTTCTCTTACTGTAATACAGTACATCCGTGGCTGCAGCATTAAGAGACAATAAAGTCATTTTCAGTATCACAGTTTAGTCAAGGTTTTGAAATGTTACTACTGCAAGTTTGACATAAATAAGCAAATCTGATTGGTTTTCTTAAAAAGAAAAAAAGCCTTAAATCAAATGACCTATTGTTCAAATTCATGTTATTTTTCCACTTTTTGGCAAAGAGAATATTTTTGTTATTATTATGTTTTACAACTGGACTCAAATGAGGCTTGCCTTAAAATTTTAGAACTGAATTCTACATCACCGAATTAATATGTGTCAATTTGTATGTCAGGCCCAGTACATCTTCTTGTACCAAAGTACGCTGGAACTTCTAAACAACAAAGGCAACAGTCAATCCATCTGGTTTGTCAGCTATTCTGCTCTGGAGAAGATGGACTCCCTGGACGCGATGGAAGGTAAACAACAACAACATATAAACATACACACTCAGATAAACTACACACTCCCCACAGCACAGTGTTCACTTCATTTGTACTGGTCTTCAGGTGATGTCGAGCTGGAATGGGAAGAGACCACAATGTAAAGGCCGACACAGATGGACACCTTACCCAAACGAGAGTGACGCTTCGTATGTTTCAAGGTCACTGGGATGCTAACCCTGGACTGTAATGCCTCCACCACACGAGAGGGAGGAGGAGAAACAGGACGTGAACAACACAGTCTGAACTGAATGATCTGTCAACTAAGACTTTGTTGCTCCACTTCAACCCATTTCGCAGCACAGTCCTCCCCTTTAATGAACCTCTCGTCCACCATTTATCAAAGAGAGAGAGAAAGAAGAGGGAGACAGGGACAGAGAATTTCTGAAATGACAGGCAGAATAGAGCAAAAACATTGAGCGCTCTATCACATCTGAAAGCCTACAGGTACTTTGCACAAATTGATTTCACTGTTATAATTGTATTATGTTGATATCATCTATGTTTTTGTAAGATAATTTATTCAGCCAAAGTGGTATTTTTGTTTTTTTTCACTCTCTTTGTAATTCTGCCTTTGTCGAAGTGCATTTACGTTTTGTTTATCCTTTCCCAAGCGTGATTTGCAAAAATAAAAGCTACTTGTATTTTTTCTGGCCTTGACACTTAACGCTAAAACACTTCAGAACTGTATAAAATGTAGCCGTTTTGACATTGCAATGTGAAATTACAATCTTATTGTTTAGAGGACACACTCAGCACCTATGGAAAATTATGTACTCCAAATTATGCTTTATGTATAGATACACACACACACACACACACACACACACACACACACACACACATGCAGACTCGCGACAACACACAACTTGACATTGATCTTGACAGTACAAGTCAGATTCAATATTGTTTTGGGGCTGACCTCATCCACTAATGAATGAGTTCAGAGCCGGTGTGCTGGGAGGACACCAGTGTAGACTGATTTCCCATAACCTCCTTCATTCCACCGTCCTCCTTGCACACCTGGTGCAAATTCATTCATTAGAGAGGCCAGCAGTGCTACAAACGCTGTGGAGGCGATACTGACATCAACGCACACAGACAGAGAGTCCAAGGCCGAGAGTAAAAACTACTTTATTCTTTCATTCTCTTCAAACAGAAAAAATTAGAAATATTCCATTAGTAAACATGTTGATCTTTAAGAAATCTCCTTTTTAGAAATATTGTGGGGGTGCAAGATTAATGACAGTGCTCCACAGTGAGGATGCAGATCTGCGCGTCTCCATGACAACCATGGAGAAGACGGGGTGGCTAAGGAGTCGGGCAGAAAGGAGGGAGGAAGTAGAGAGAGAGAGGGGGGAGAAAATGACATCAATCAACTCAACATGCCCTGACAATAATGATACAAACATATAATCAAACACCCTCCCCCTCCCCTGCCCTGGTACTGTAAATGGAAAAGAAAAACAAAAGAAATATCATGCTGTACAGTACATCTCAGTCAGAGTTTACAGTAAACAAAGTGGGATTTCTGACTTGAGAAATCAAGCAGTTTCTGAAGGTGAATCTAAGCTGGATTTGTTGTTGCTTTGGCAGCTATGTGCATGTTTATGTACGTCAGTGTGTGTGGTTGTTTATGCGCCTGTGTGTGTGTGTGTGTGTGTGTGTGTGCGTGTGTGTGCGTGTGTGTGTGTGTGCGTGTGTGCGTGTGTGTGTGTGTGTGTGTGTGTGCATGTGTGTGTGTTTGAGACCAGTGATTTACTGTACGTATTCATCAATACAGCATAGCCCTTTACACACCTTAACAGGTGACACAGCCATCTCTTAATAATTCTATAATAATATGACATAATTTAATGATGAATGTAGATCTGTAATAATATCAGTGTATGTTACCATGGTAACTAGAGTGTATTCTATAAAAGCTGCCTGTTTCCTGTCTCTCATAGCAGTAGGATTTAGGACCCCCCCCTCCCCTGATATTAAATGTGAATAATAATAATAATAATAATAGTAACTATAATAACTATAATATTCTTTTTTTCTTTTAAACTAGATTCTTCTCTGTACAAATACATACGTAGATACACACACTGGGCAAACCAATCACTTTTTCAGAATAAATCTATATTATCTATTTACAATATATCCAATATATTCTGTGGTGCAAAAGATACAAGACGTGTTCGGTGTGTCTCGGTTGGATGATTTGTGATCTGCTGTACAAACTGACTCCAGCTTGAACCATCAACACTGGACAGATGACCCAATGATGAAGTCAATAATTGTTCCACGGGCATCTTCAGTTTTCCTCCCCGATTAACATTCAGGAATACATCTCCTCTTTTAAAACATTTTCGGTGTGCAAGGAAAAATATAATACGTGAGACAGGGAGTGATGTTTTTGTGAGGTGACCTTGGCCTACCTTGTGTGGAGCAATTTCTATTAATTTTTAAACGTAAGCTAAGAGTTTTCTGAGCAGAGATATTGCCTAATTCCAAAAGGTAACAACAATATTCACACCAGGTAACCCATTAGGAGTAAATATACAGAAGGAAAAAGGCTTCATCTGGCTGTTTTAGCTTTGTTTTGATGAATTACCAGCCCTACTCTCTGCTGCCCATGAGTAAGCAGATGGAACACAAAGTACACTGCTCAGCACAACTCAGAGGTGCAGATATTACATGTTACAGTGCAGCAAATCCCTTCCTGAGCCCTGTGGAAGCAAAACGTCACAGAATCAGAGCAGTCACACACCACTGTGAAGATATCTGCTTACACAGAACGCAAAGCAATGAAGCACAGGAAAATATGATTGTCGTCAGGATATGGTTTTAGGTTAGTTTAGTGAGTAGCAACACCCTTGTTCACTACACTACAGGGAATAGATGTGAGAGCCTTTTTCTTCGCCGTCTTCCTCACACTGATTATCTGTTCCCTGGAAAATGAAGGAAATAAATAAGCTGGTACTCTTGTTTCTTCACATTATGCAGAGATGAGGAAAAAAACAGCGAAGAGAAGCTAGATTAGCTCTGCTGAGATGACTCCTCACTGAGTTTGGTATCTAAAACCTGGACCGAACAAAGAGCTGTGTAGTTTTGTCCTTCATATTTAAAGCAATCCCCTGTCCTTCCAAGGCGGCCGGAGTTTGCTTCGCCCCTCGGTTTCACGGTCATAGCTCACAGACACATTTGTTGGACAGATGACATTTAAAAATGCAAAGTCACAAAATCTCTTGAAGAGTGTGAAATCTAAACAGACAACACCATCAGCTACCGGGAGACACGTTGGAGAAACTACTCCACGTTCAAAAACACCAGTCAGTCAAGACTATGAATAGATTCTTGTTAGTGTCCTTTTCCTTTGTCCCTCATACAGTATATTCCTCACTTTTTTTGCAATGCTTTTATCTTCCCATTCAAAGTGAGTCAACTAGTGCTCCAGCATGTGTTTGTTGTTATGTGTGAATGCGAGGGTCTGGCCCCCAGGGTTCGTAGAGTAGCCGGCCACTTAGACGATGCTGCGGGAGCCGCTGGAGTTGCGCCTGCGGATAAGAGGCATGGTGTGGTGGAGGGGCATGGGTGAGTCAGGGGGACAGAACTGGTGGGGGTGGTTGTAAGGGGGTGGGGGAGGCGGCAGAGGGGGCTGTGGGCCATCCCCCTCTCTGACATGCACAGGTGTGGACATGGCAGACTGGATGAGCTGATGGGTAGCCGGACCTTGGCTGAGGAAGGCTTCCATCCGCCCTCGCCCACTCTGGTCCACAACGATCACTTTGACAATCTGCTGGCATTGGATGAGTGTTTCTGGGCGGAGCTCCCCGGGCTGGACGGGGCTGAGCAGGGCAGGTGGCGCAGCCAGGGCCAGAGGTGTGGACTCAATGCTGGGCTGGCTCAGTTGATAGGTCTGCAGCCTGTTGTGAATTGACACCTAGTTTAGGAACAGTCAGAGAACGCATGAGGAGTTACCAGCCTGAACGCAGCCTCTACGCAGCCCTCTGGTGTGTTACGCACATGGGCATGCAGGCATGCAGGTAGGTAGTATGCAGAGCGAGCGCATGCAAAGTACACACACTCTCTCTCTCTTTCCCTCAATCATGTTTTTACATGATTTACACATTCTTTCTATGTTTTTTTACACACACCAGCCCAGAAAGAGAAAAGGGTTGTGAAGTAAGAAGAGATTTTAGTTAGAAATAATGGCGGGAACGTTTTGGATTTCGTGTGTGTGTGTGTGTGTGTGTGTGAGAGCATGGTCAATGAGTGGCAGAATGAGAAGCTAAAAAGATAAAGGGAGTGTCAGGAGAGGGGAGAGGTGACACCGAGGGCGTGGTGCCTCCCTAACACATTTAATTACAACTCTAAAGGACTGACTGAGAGGCAGGAAAGAGAGGAGAGAATGGGCAAAGGAATAAAACAAATAAAACTAGAAAGGGGAAAACAGCTTTTATCACTATGTTAAGTTAAAGGAAGGGCTGGTTTTACAGACACACACCCACACACACACACACACACACACACACACACACACACACACTCGACAGACTGTTAACGGTATCAAGCTTATCTGGCTTTGTAGATGGTTTTCTAGGAGCCAGCCGGGCATATGGTGGCTTGCAAAGGCTTATACAGTAAGGCTGGCAAGCAGTGGCTGATGAAAGATGGGATGTTGTATAGCGAGTAGAGTGGCTGCTGATCCACTCATGAGGCAACAGAAAAAGACTGTTTGTTGCGCCACTACAGCAGACTCCTCTCAGAGGCCTTTGTATCCTAGGCTGCAAAGTGGGGATGTGCCTCAGGCGGTGCTCTTTTAAAGCAAAGCATAAAGCAGACTTTCTTCTCAGTCCCTGTCTAACTGCAAACACACACACACACACACACACACACACACACGCATACATACATACAAAACCACACCCACAGATTTGGTGATGCAGGCACTTACCTGAGGGAGAAAAGTATGGCTTGAGCACTTACCTCTACTGTGTTGTTGTTGCCAGTTTTATCATACGGATCCTGTTGGCCTGTGGGAAGAAACGGGTCTATTTGTAAGTTAACAGGCAGATTTAGGATCTTCAGACACAGAGAAAAGCTGAGAAACATTACAAACAAGAAGGAATAGTGTTGCATTTTGGGAATAGTTCAGACGTGTTTAGCTTAGCTTAGCTTAGCATAAAGCCTGGAGGTGAGGGAAACAGCTAGTCTGGTTCTGTCCAAAGTGCAAGAAATACATATACCAACATCTCTAAAGCTGACGATCTGTATCTGGTTTGTTTAAAGGATTTAAAGGCCCTATCTAGAGTTTGTCCATTCTGGTCTACTGTAGGGTGTACTGTCGGTTCAACATGGCTCCGTGGAAGAGGACCCTGTAGAATAAAATATCCCATTTTGAGGTAACAAAAACACAATGATTCTTCTTTTCACACATTAATGAAAACATACCTATGAATATTTTATTCCATTTCTGCCAATAGATCCCCCTCAATGTTACACACTGAACCTCTAACTTTAAACAACAATCCGTGGTTTCGGGGGAAGTTACTTGCTGGAACAAATTCTCCCTTTAATAATAAAAAAGTAACTATGACCACAAAGGCAAAACTTTAAACCCTCTGATCATCATCCAATCTTCTTTTTTTAATTTCCTTTTTCAGTGTGGGGGGCTTTTTCATGCGCCTCTCTTCCATGAAGCTGTCCTATTTTCTACATTGCCTTGAGTAACGTATGCATTATTATGCGTAATGTATGCTGTGTTGTGAATTTTATGCTGCACGAGCAAAACCAGCACCTGAGGGAGAGCCGTGTCCTGTGTGTGTGTCCATTTGCCCGCCGTTAGTGTGTATGCCGTGTGGCTGGATGCCTTGTTGCCTCTCCAATTCCCCTACAACACAAGAGAAAGATTGCAACCATCCACATAGAGAAGCCCACTGTATATTTGTTTGTATTTACACATGTTGAGGTGTGTGTATGTGCTTCCTTCCTTACACTGGATGTGTATCTGTTCCATCTCATTGACCTCTGTTATAGCCTCTCGGAGCTCCTCAGCAAACTTCCTGAGCTCTTCTCCGCTCGGGGAGCAGAAACTCACCAGCTGCTTCTTCTCTGAGGTAAATGGGCTCAACATGGTGATGCCATGGGCGTAGTCTGATGAGACCCAGACAAAGTGTCAAAGAGAAAAAGAAGATGCTTTCACCATAACTTTGATTCTAAAAAAAGGATGCAGGATTTCAGGATCTTTTGAAACATTGAAGTGTTGCAGTTTTTACTTCACAAAATGTTGTGGCTAAGAATACTTGCAAAAACCCGGGCTTTGAGGTTAATGACCAAATGTGTTTCTGTTGGCAGCAATGGCTTATTGAACACTGCAACAAAAGGTCTCATACTTATTATATATCATATTAATTAGTCAATAGTTTTCTTCTTTATTTTTTTCTTCTCAGCAAAAGTACCCAAAGTGTACATAAAGGTACAGATGTGATGTGCATTGCAGGTTCAGTTACATTAAAAGTCTAAATTGTGACAACTCAAAATAATTTAGATTTATTTTTAAAGTAATACTTAAATCTGTGCAAGCAAGCAACTTTCCTTTAAGATAATTACGTGAAGTTGACAGCAGTGTGTTAATTTTGATTGCTGTTGATGACTCTGTCAGCACCAGGGTGGAACTGTACTGAAAATAAACTGCTGCAGAGTAAGAAAGCACCTTACATTCATTGCTGAAGAGGTGAAACTGCATTCCCAGAAGACCCATGGCTTTACAGAAGGTGTATGAAGCCGAGCTTTTCTTCTTGGGACACAGCTTCAGGATCTACAGTAGAGACACATAATACACATCATGGCTTAACTGATATCTAATACCATCTGGGCTGTTCATTATATTTGACAATATTTCAGCTGCATATTTAGAGTATTGTCCCTGAGTATAGGTTTATTACCAGCAGTAAGTCATTGAAGAGGAAGACCTCTCTCTGGAGCTGGGACAGTTTCTGTTTATGAGGCTTGTTGGCGTCAGGCACCTCGAACAGACGACAGCAGCACACCAGACGTCTGTGGGGCACGGCGAGGATCTACAGAGGCGAGGTTAAGGAGATGGAGATGACAGATAGTACAGACCAGGACAGACTGCAGCGAAATAATACATGACACAAGAGAGAGGAGACAGTACAAACAAGTGCAGACAGCTGACTGAAATGAGAAGAGAGAGGAAGGGGGGCAAAGACTCAAGGCACAAATATCACTCACGGTTTTCAGGCCCAGGATGGACTGCTCCACACGGCTCACATAGGTGACGTGGTCTTCGTTGGACCGGAGCTCTCTTTGTTGGATCCTTTCATAAATGCCTGCGACCATCTCTCTGGGGATGTCTGCTCCATCATCCACACCTGAGGGAACAATAGTCCATAAAGTTTAGGTGTGGGCACTATCAAAGTAAGATGTAGTCTATAGATCCTACAGGGAATTAGCCCTGACACGCTGAATGTCTAACTGTTCGCTGAGCCCTGGCGCCAGGGGAAAAGTAGCTAAATACATTTACCCAAGTAATGAAGCTCAAGCTAAAGTTCAGCCAGGAAGACTTATCTCTTGCATATAGACCTGTAGTTAAATTCTCTTTCCATCCTGCATTCACTCCTCTCATGCATGCATAATTTATCATTTCCTTGCTGTCATTATCAGGGGCTGTCAATCAAGTTGTTCTCATCAGCTGGTCACGTCCAACCAATAGCACAGTGACACACCTGCATTGTTAGCCTTGTCATCTTTTTAAATATAATTCTCTCTCTCTCTCTCTCTGCCTTCAGTTAATTCATGCTGCTGTTATGCGCATTCTTCCACCTCCCCATCACCGCCCAATCTTCACAGATTCAGCAGCTTCATTATTTCATGAGCCTCAGCAGAGTCATCAGCCACCACCACCAGTGTCTGGACTCCATGTGGTGATTTATCTAGTTGCTGCTCTCCACCATCTCGCTTAAACACTAGGAGTTAACTTAAGTATCATCGATAAATTACTGTTTAAGACCAGTCTGTAGGACTTTGTGGAATCTAGCGATGAAGCTGCGTATTGCAACCAATAGAATAGATCAAACTGCGGTGGCCGCGAAACTTGCAAAAAACGCTATGTAGAGCCAGTGTTTGGTTTGTCCATTCTGGGCTACTGTAGAAACAATGTGCTTCTATATGATGGACTAAATGACTAATGAGTAATAAAAACTATTCATATTTTCAGGTGATTATACACTAATGAAAACAAACTTGTGAATATTATATTCCATTTCTGCTAATCCTCCTAAATCAGAGATGCCTGCCAGAGGGTTCATTCCGGCCCGCGGGATGGGTGAAAATGACAGAGAAGACAGAGTTGCGAACATAGCACAATGCTTTATTGAACTTTATTCACCGACAACTGTAACTCACACTGTACATTTACTGCTAGACATACATTTACTCATTAGTCAAAATGACTTCCTCAAAAAGGAGACTAAACTTAGCAAACTAAACAGTGAGTAAACCTACTTCATGTAAAATGCTGCTTCAGACCCTTTTGCTCTGTGAAAATGCATACTTACTGTGTCTAAGTATGCATTTTCACAGATGCACAGATGTGAAAATGTATGTAAATTTAAAATAATTTCCAGATGTTGACAAGTTGTGAAAATGCATACTTACTGTATGTAAGTAAGCATTTTCACAGAGCTGTATTCTTCAGAATGCAAAAGTGTCTGAAGCAGCATTTTACATTTAGTAGGTTTACTCACTATTCAATGAACATTGTGCACTAATATGTCAGTCAGCAGCTTCAGTACAAAATAGTTTGGTTTGGTGGAACTCTATTGCTCATGCACTGCCACAACTTTCATGTATTTTTATGTAGGCTATACATTTTATACATTTATAAGGATAGGTTAAGTAGAATAACTGAACCTTTCCTAATAGCTTCCACTTTAGTTTGTATGCTGCAGTGAGTCAGTTCAGGTGATCAGGATTACTGCACAGATGTGAAAATGTATGTAAATTTAAAATAATTTCTAGATCTTGACAAGTTGTTTTAATTATTATTAACTGTAAGAGAAAGTCACCCTGATATTATTGTTCAGTTCCAGGTACATGTTACTTAATGTACTGTGGCTTTGTAGATCCACATCCACTGATCTTTAAATTGTAATGCCCATGTGTAAATGAAATTAATATAATATATTGTTGAAATTGCACTTATTTTCCTTAAGAAAATTCAGGTTGTTCATAATGTTTTGTGAAAAGAAAGTTTATTAAATGTGATCATTTTCAGAATGTATTACTATTTCTTTGCAATAAAATGCAGAGGGGTTGTTGCTATTTATAGGTAATTATGCCTTAATTTTACTGGTCCAGCCCACTTAAGGTCGAATTGGGTTGTATGTGGCCCCTGAACCAAAATGAGTTTGACACCCCTGTCCTAAATGTTACACACTGGGCCTTTAAATTACATAATAAGAAGTGATTCCCAATCAATGCGAAAACTATGAAAATTAAAACATTTTATTTCATTAACCTGTGAATGTTTTTATTATTATTCTGAATCCTTTTACTGTGCAGATTCTTTGCAATATTATAGCAACAGCCGCAGTGGAAGATGATGGGGATCAAAACTACATTTAATTTAAGGCGAAATGTGTGGGCTGTTTTTTTAATCGGAGATATTACAGTCAAATTAGTTTTATTTCATTGTGGCGTTTGCAGCTGTGAATCACAAAATGTGCTTTTATCCCAGTATGTGTGCTGTCATTGTGTCCTGGTAGTTGTTCCATAATCACTATGGAGCAGCACAAAGACATCCCCACGACAGTCTGTCACTGCTGTTCGAGAAACCTGTTTGGTTCACAATTTAAAACTAGGTTGTGCAATGTTCTATGAAAAAATATATGGAAATGTATTTTATGGTGGATTTTTCCATTAACTGAAGGTACAAATAAAAGTCAAACTGCTTTCCTTTAAGCTCTGGTTGCAGTAGATGTTGGTATCTCTTCAAGCACTGAATGGGGAACGTGTTGAGAGCCTCAGGGAGTGCAGGTGATGAGATGCTTCCGGAAACCTCTTATCGTTAAATATAACGGTAAGTGAGCCTCAATTAAATGGGTCGACGCCACGGTCTCTGGGGCAGAGCTCTGACTCAAGGATATCAGAAATCTCCATCTGCACAGCTGATGGTTTTCTTGATGGTAGCGAGCGAAGGCAAGCATCCACCGCCTCTTTGAGTAATTTATTTCACTTCAAGAGGCTGTCACTCAAATTACTGATAGTGAGGTTTTTAGAGTTCTTGTTGTAACACTTTGACTTCCTCTGCCCTCTGCTCTCTTTTTTTGTCTTCCTTATTCCTTCTGGCATATCTCTCCAATGGATCTCCTCATCATGATCTGCAGTAAAAGGTTTGAAATATGTATGTAGGCTACGTATGTGCGATTACTATGTATAACCAGTGTCCAAAACCACTTGCCATGAATGCTCTGTGACATGTCTGCAACTCATTATACCAGCTTTGTCCACGGTGCCAGTTCACTCTCCCTGAAAGGTCCTACAGCTAAAAATACTACAAACACACACACTCGCGCTCATACATGCACATAATGTACTAACCTCTTAGGTTGCGAATAAAGTCATCAAGGCCCATTTTGCGCTGGGGTTTGATGTTGGGCGAGTACATGTCAGTGTTAAGGAGGACCACAGCAAAAGCCAGGATGAAGATGGTGTCTGGGTTGTGAAACTGCTGCACCACATCAGGATTACACATACAGTACCTCTGGCTGTGGAGGAAAAATAGGACAACAAAGTTTTATGTAAGAAGTTAGGTCAAACATTTCTCTGCCACTTCTTACCAGGGATATTTGTCTGGATTCTTGGGCATTATACCGCTGTTATAGATTTAAAAAAGGGGGATGCTGTAGTTGCCATCAGCAGAATTGATTCAAATATTCAAATATAATTCATATCCTGAAGGGGCACATTATTGCTTTTATATGGATAACAGCATATGCACTAGCTGAAAACTTTTCTCTGGTGTAACAAACACAGTTACAAAGAAATGAAATACAGCACAAACAAAATAAGAAGTACTTGCCGCGTTGCCACAAGTTTGGTGTGTAATACCAAATTCTTATACATTTTAATGGTAAATTCATGGATTTAATGCAAACAGGACAAATTAAAACCAACCAACCTTTTATTAATCAGTGTTCAGTACATACAGACAACTTTCTAGCAACTTTATTGCTGGACTGATGTTAAATTATACTCCAGTTTTGAGTTTATTATGTACACCTAGTTAAAACGATAACAAATCCCACCTTCATGAAGGTTTTAATATTGAAACAGTTTTAGAAATGTGTTCAATTTGGTAATTTTGAAGGATGTAGTTTGAGATGCTGTTAAATTGCATTGCTTTACGCTATGAGGTGTTTCTAATATCTTGTCTTCCCCATTCATAATAAGTGAGGGTAGAGACACCCCTGTATCTTCAGGCTCACAGAGCCAACGTACCAAACTTAATGATGCACTCAGTGACTTTATTTTTAGGCCAAATCGCAGCCCAAATCCCAAGATTTCCTCTCAGCTCAAAGTGTGTTATCTTTCAAAATATCAACAGTGAGCTGGGAGGAAATCTTGGGATTTGGGGGGTCAGATCAGGGAGTGCCTTGTTATAAGAGATTAGCACAAAGTAAAATTTCAAACCAATATAGACAACGGCCTTTGAAAGGTTGATGAAGAAGGCTGATTATAATGCCAATATGTCTCCATAGAAGTTTATAATCTGTCTATTTTAATGAAGACTGACTGATTCTAACTTCTAGTCAGATGTGAGGAGCAGTCACTCTACCATAAATGAGACTGACAGGACACAGGAGACATTTGACAGTCCAAAATGCTTCTGCCCTAGGTAAGGCAACCCTGCCCAGTCTGCTTTGGAATCAGAGATTCTGCATTTGGACTTGCTTTGCTCCTTCGCTGCCCACAGGCTTCACATACTCTCACTTCTACCCCTCCTTCCCCCACATCTCCTTTTCTTACTGTCACTTACGCTTACACACTGGGCCATTTCAGTGGTTGGAGGCTTTTATCTCTGCAGCCAGGCAGGATGCAGACATGGAGAGGGCTGCTCTGCTCCAGCGGACTACGTACTTGACAGAGCATATGCGAGCGAGAGGCCACGTTTGAGACCTGCACAACCAGAAAGCCTTTCCCCAGACCCCACACAAGATCTAAGGCCAGAGAACTCACAGGGCATCAATCGACAACAGCCCAGTTCAGTGCCTTTGTTTGAGGGAGAATAGATCGTACTTGGCACAAACGCTGCTACAGATATAATATGCACTTGCACGTACATAGACACACAGAAACACACAGGGGCACAAACGAGCTTCCTGATTTGCCAACTTGATGTAACTCTGCGGCAAATTTATCAAAGGCTGAATGCAAGATCTACTGTGTGTGAGAGTGTGTATGTATGCAAATGGGCATGTGCATGGATGTGTAACTGCATACATGTTAATGCACTAGTTTGCAAACAATTGAGTGAATAAATAAAACGGTGGTTATGTCTGTCTGTTTTGGCTTCATTCACACATTTTCAAGCACGGATCTCCGTCTTATGTAACCAGTTTATTTAAACACTAGCTCCCGATCTCTTATCTTCATATCTGCATATGAATGTTGCATGCCAGCTGGCACAAAAAGCACTTCGTATAAAAAGAACTACTCACGACAAGAGTACAACACGCTTCAAACAGATGACATAACAACTGTTACGTAACAGACCTGCCATCGGATGTCTGGCTGTCCCGATAAAGCCTCCTCGTTTCTGACCTATACTCAGAGATCCAGCTACAGACAGTGTGGTCTCAGATCGCTGATGATTTTGTAATCTGCACCCAGGGGCTCAGCAAGTATGATTGAGTGTGATGTGATTAACTGATGACCGCGGTGGGTGTTCTGATTGGCCCTCAAATCAGAAGCGGAGAGGAGAAGTGTCATGACTGCTCCTTCTCCTCTCTTCCCTCACCACTTCTTGCTTGGAGTTAGAACACACATTCCTTAATGGATGGGACTAGTGATCTATATTTTTTGTACGGTTCACAAATCCAATAAAGAAATTCCCAAACTAAAACTAACAGTGAATTTGACCTCTAATAAGTATTACCAATGTAATGTATCCACTGCCTGCTATAGCTTTTAAAACACATCAGTGAACCACATCTGCACTGAGTGACATATTCCCATATAATGGACATGGAGTTTATTTTTAATCAACCCTACAAACATGCTGCTGCTGTAAATTCCATTAGAGCATCAAACAAGCTGAAAATAGTCCCCAACATATGTGTTAGTTATATCCTGTCAGGGTAATGTTTGTTAAAAAATAGAGTGACAGCAGTGATCAGGCAGTGATCACGCAGTCAACTCAAGCTGCACTGCTATATACACACGTGACATGCTTTACTCTCCATAATCACAAACACACCCTTACGTCTTTTTAAGCTGCAACATTTCCCAGCCCTCCCTCTGCTCTGTCAATGCTGCTGCTGCCCTGCATCAGTATTGCTGTCTGTTCCCAGCTGTTTTGAAATAATGAAACTATATATTAGTGACCTGTTTTTCTCAGCCACGCTAGCTAGTGGCCCTAGCGATGTCTCAACAACTTGTGGATGGATTGCAATGAAATTTCCTTCAGCCTTCATGGAACTCTATCTTTTCATCTCAGACTATAATCATGTCAGGTCAGTTATGTCCAAAATTTGTCCAATGCCTTTGGTTTTTTACTAAATATTTGCATAACTAATGATTAATGTCATTTCCATCAACTTCCGCAGGACTTTGTTGTTTGTGTTTTGTGCTAATTAATAAACAGTGTTGGGCGAGTAACTCTAAATATGGGTAATAATATAACTAATAATAATAATGATGATGAGTTATTAATATTAATGATAATATTAGCAGTGGGCACAACCACAATCCAATTGTGTCCCTTCTCCCCAAAATTCAGACTTACAATGAATAAAATCCAGTTCTGTTTGTTAAAATCAAAGCAATGGGAATATTTCCAGATTAAAAAAATGAATCCAAGGATGTGATTGGATTTCAAATTAGTAAGAGGGAACCAACAAAAGTAATATTGTAACTTTTAGCACGGGGGGAGTAAGTGTAATAGTATTACTCAAATGTATTTGTAATTAGTTACACTACTAGTAACTAACTAATATGGAGAACATTATAAACATGAAACCTGCTACGCCTCACAGAGCCTGTACATGATGACTCGGGCTAAGTTTTCAGCTTCAGTCTGCACCTCACAACATGGACGGCACACTGTGGATGCAGAAAAATGCTGGCAGACAATTAAAATGCAGTACATTTTCTATGGTGATTACACTCCCCTGAGATTGAATTATACTAGCAATTTAGAGTTATTCAGAAAGACATCTTGGTTAATGACTTGAAAGGGGCAGCTGCTCAACTCATGTCCTGTTTGGTGACATTGTAGGTAATCCTGGGGGAAAGAGCAGCACATCAGCAGAGTGAGATTAAATGTACAAGGCGATGCAACCAATTGCATGAAATGAAATGGAAAACAATGATGGCGATTTTTATTGCATTTTTAGTCTTGGGAGCAATCTCTGGACATTACCAGGACATTTCAAGGGCAATGCAAGCCAGGGGATAAGGCACCAATTGTAGCTCTGATTTGTCTAGTCACTTTTGGTTGTTTTTGACTCAAAGAATTATCAGTCAGGTAAGGTAAAATTGCATCATTAAAAAACTCTTTCTGTCCAGGAGTTTGTAGGCAAACCTAGACAGTCCACTCGAAGGCACAAAGGGAGTATGCGAGTTACAGTAGGTCTCTCAAGGCCCTCTTGGTATTTAAATGAGTCTTCTTCAGCAGATATGCTCATGAATTTTAGAGACTGGAGGGCAGGAGTCAGCACTGACAAAATGAGCAGAGAACCAACTCAGGGTAAAACCCCATGAGTACCAAACATGCACTTTTACATATCCATGTTTAATTTTGGTTGGAAATGGACACAACTGTCAAGCACATACAAACAGCATACAAAGCCTGAAGATTTGCGTAGTGTGTCATCCAGGGGAGAAAGTTGTGAAATAGAGCATCTATTTTTGTCCTGATGGAACGTACACTGATTGCCTGCAGCTCAGATCTCCGCCATGATTGGCTGACAATCAAACACTGCTGAGTTTAGTCAAAGGTTACAGGCAATCAGTATAATTTGTTAATGATACAAGGCTTTAGTTTCATCACAGACTGCCGCAGTGAGCTAGCAGAAGCAGTTAAAACACTTTGTCTATAAAGTCAGCTTATTAGCATGCCATGCATCCATGCCATTCTGGATACGTCTGCATCCCCAAGGCTGCAACATGAGATCAAAAAAATACCTTGCTTCTGTTTTATTGCAAAATATATGAGATTGGTTACGTGTCGTGTTTTTTTAGTTTTGCATAGGTGGCTACAGGCAAAAGGTCTATTCATTTTAAGAAGCTCAGAATGCCCTTACCAGCCCTGCTCAGTCATGTGATGGACTGTTGAATTGTATTAAAAAGTGAAGCCAGATCCTGTTAGTCAGTGAGGCCTGGCTGTGAGCGAGTTGACAGTCTCACCTAAAGGCTTCGATGAGTCTCTCCACTTTCTGTGCTTCTCCCTGAACACGAACATGAGCCTGGAACTTTCTCAGGGCTTCGTCGAGCTCCATGCCTGAGAAATCCATCTCATCTACGACGCAACTATAAAAGGGACAGACAGAGACAAAGAGAGAGCAAAAGAGAAAGGAGAGCGAGAGATTGGGTTCAGTTGTAGTGTGTCCCTGTAATGATAAGTTGAGTGAGTGAGCGTATGCACCTATGTGTTTGTGTGTGTGCAATAAACTATGAGTACCCAAGTGCTGATGGCAAATCTTCCTTACAGTCATACTTCCATTACAGAAGCACTGACCTGGAAGACGCACATAGAGACAACATGTTTGCACACGCACACGCACACACTTTGTGCAAACATCAATGGAGAAGACAGAGTCTGATGGCAGTGGGAGATAAGAGGGAAGGGAAGAGAGGGATGAGAGGACGAAATAATGATCTTAAAAGTGAAGGGGAATAAGAGAGGTACATGAAAGGCTGAGGACAGGCTGTAGCAATGGAAGAACTACATAGGCCTACACATGTGCATGTCGTATTTGTGTCCATGAGTGTGTGTCTACGTATCTGAATGAGTGAAGAAAGTGAGGAGTGTGATTGTGTGCGTGTGTTCAGTGCAGTGACCTATTTCTACAGTCTCTGCAACAACCTCAGCAAAAAGCCTCTCTATCCTGGATCTCTGTCTACACTGGTTGGTTGCAAAAAGGGTGAGTGTGAAAGCATTAAGTAAATGCGTGTTTTCATGGATGTGTTGCATTTATGCATGGAAGTGCTGCATGTCAACTGAATTTGTGTGTGTGTGTGTGTGTGTGTGTGTGTGTGTGTGTGTGTGTGTGTGTGTGTGTGTGTGTGTGTGTGTATCGTGTGTATGCCAGGTTAGATTCCAACAGCTTGTTCTATTTTTAAATATCTTAAAATACCAGAAATACTGAAGTCAGAGTCTAACAAATCTCTTATTTAATCTTTTATATCTTCTCTTCTTTTTAGTAGTAAAGAGCAACATGCACACACAGCAAACATAGTTACAACTGAAAGCTCCAGATGCTGGATTTTTTCCAAGGTCATGAATGTACTTCATTAACTTTAAATCCAGCCTGACTGACAAGAATAATTTAAAGTTTGAGCACCTCTATCAAAACCCAACCACGTGTATATGTGTAATGCCTTTATGTTGCCATATATAAATAATGAGAACTCACTCCAGAACATCTCTGTTGAATTGCAGCTTGCTGTTCCCCAAGAACTCTCCAATCATCTGTCTGCTCAGGCCCTTCCTCTGCAGCAGGAAGTGAGCCACTCCGATGGCCGTGTCCGGGACGAAACCTCGTGTGATCAGGAAGTGGATGCCTCTTTCTGGGTTCCTGCCCGCAAACAACCAACAGTGGACAAGCAGATAGTGTTAACAGTTGAACGGCGCGTGTGTGATGTTTTTGTGCGCTCAAGCGGATAGGTGTGTGGGCCGGAGTGAGAAAGAAAATGCGTAACGCTAGATTTAAGAGAAAGGGAGCTTAAGTTAATGTGTGTGTGAATAAAAGAAAGCGAGTGTGTATGTAAGAGCAAGCACAAAGGGAAAGAAGAAGAGGCAGAGTGCATTCATGCGCAAAAGCTGTTAGCTCTGGACTTCTGGATCAGACCCACTGTTACTGATGCATATGAGTTAATTTACTTTAATTTGTATTAACTAGTAATAAGTGCAGGCCAACCGTGGTCTCTATTTATAGATGCTGAGAGGCTCTCACATTGTTCCTGACCTCCTTGACTGCCTCTCCTCTTCTACTGCATTTTCCCTCTTTTCTATCTCTCTTTGTCCCTTGCCACGCTTTCTTTGGCTTTTTTCACTGACATCACAAGATGGCACTGAACAGGCAGCTCCTCCCAATAATTACAAACACTAATGAGCAGCTGCTTAGAGCAGTTTTGCAGGGCTGTTGGAGATTTGTTAGACACAAACTGGACTAAGTGTACTTTGAACCCTGAGCCAGAGGGAGCAGAAATATTTAGATATTTTCTGTGTGTCAGTGTATAAATGTGCATTGCTAGATCACTCACACATTGAAGAGGTTGAGTCCTATACGGTAGAGGCGTTTGCGGTGTGTGTCCGTGGACAGTGTTGGCGAGCGGCAGGAGGCTGGGTCCTGGCAGCGGTCCCTGGGCAGAGAGACGACCAGGGCCTGCAGGGCCTCGGGGCTCGGCCCCCCGGGAATCTGCTGAGGATGAGTGTAGTGGTACTGCTGGTACTGGGTGTAAATCTGAGCAGGCTGCTGGTTAGACTGGACTGAGGTGGAGATAGAGGTGGAAGTAGAGGTAGAAGTGGAGGTGGACCCTAGTCTGTCTGAGCCGCTCTCCCCTTCCATCCCACCTCCACCTGGAGCTGGCACTGCTGAACCTCTCCTTGATCCTATATCAGCCATTTCCAACTCCTCACTGGGTGGAGGTGCAGGAAACTCTGGCTCCTCTGCTGACAGGCCATCTCCTCCCCCAGCCATCCCGCTCACAGAAGTCTTCCTGCTTCCTGGCTCTCCCCCGCCTGCATTACCCAGAGAGGTGGTGGTTGTGGTGGTGGCAGAGGAGATGGTGTAGGAACTATTGCTGTCAATGTGAACAGTGACATCCCTGAAGGCCATCAGCAACGAGCTGGCACTGCGGGGCAGACAAGCACTCTCAGCGGCTGCACGAAGGGCTCCGGGATCCATAAGTAGCCCCTTACCCTCTCCACCCTCCGACAAGCTCCAACCACGAAGGGCGTCATCAATTGACTGGGCCAAGGAATGAAGCTACAAATATAATGATAAGAAAATACAAAATTAAAACTATATTAGTTAATGAAACCTTATTTCTTGATTCTTTTTCTGAACCATTTTGTATCTCTTATTAAGCTTATTGGAATATTATCATAAAATAAAAACACTCACTTGTTCAGAGAAGCAGTCCTCCAGCTGTGTGAGTGTTTGCCCAGGGGTTTGAGGTGGGGCTGGGCCTGGGGCAGGAGAAGGACCAGTAGCTGGGGCAGATGCAGGGGAAGGGGGCAGAGAGGTGGAGCGGCATGGAGGTGGCGGAGGAGTTTTGGAGCGTAAGGGTATCTGTCCTCCTCCCGGATGCAGACTGTAACTGTGTCTCTGAGTTGAGTTCCGGTTTCGGCCTGAAGGACTTGGATGCCGCAGGGAGATCCGACGGGGCAGCTTGCTCTCCGACAGAGAGTTACGGATCTTCTGGAAGTTTTTGCTCAGCTGATATTGACGGAAGGCTGTCTGGATACGACGGGCTGCCCGCCTCGCTATAAGATGGCCTCCATACTTCTGCTCCAACTCTTCTATCTGGGGATGGGAAGAGAGTGAGGGGGAGTGAAACAAACATGTTTACAAGGCTCTGAAACTCACTGATGACACTGCAAGAGTGATATTGCAAAGCACACAGCAACCACTGAAAAATATTTATTCATCCGCCAGCAGGCAAACATCATGTTGGCAGTTTGTGCCCATGTCCTCCAAAGATCAAAAGAATCTGAACATTGCCTGAGTCACAAAATTCACACTCACACCCTCCTTCTTAGTAGGTATCCTTCTTACTTATCTGTCCACTCTTTTAAAAGCGGGTGAGGGTTTATGGTATTAGAGCCAAAGTAAACATCATCTATCATCATTCAACTGCTAATACTGTCTGAAGGGCCATGGGAAGGAGGAGGATGGATGGGTTGTGACAAAGGTGCTGTTGAGAAAATGAATAGAAAAGTAAACACCCGCACAAGCCTATTTTTGTGCTTTTTGTTGGTGGAGCAGCTCATCCCAAAATATCGGCTTTCTCCAGAAATGTTTTTGCCCTCCTATATTTTCAGCAAGAGGGAGACGAAGGAGGGGGAGTGCAAGGCAAAGGGAAGACAGAGAGGGAGAAAAAAGGAGGACAGCCATACATGTGCCTGGGTGTGTGTCTGCTCACGCAAGCACGCCCACAAAACGTGCACACACACACACACACACACACACACACACACACACACACACACACTCATATACACACACTCGCACTGCAGCAGCAATAAGAGCAGCAACAGTAGACCCTTCAGCAGTTTGGTACGAGAAATAAAGACATCTCCAGCCGCCAGAAGCAGTTATTAGCTGTTACCATGACAACCTAGCATCTTTTGTGTTCCTGTCGCTGTGGCAGCAGAATCGCTGGTGTTCTTTTTCATGTCAACACGGACAGAAATAGATGTCAATGGAATGGAATTTGTTTCTGTCACACAAGGCACAACGTCAAATGATCATCCTTCACACACCTCCTCATACTTAAACAGGTAGAGGAGTCAGCATTCACTCCATCCCACCAGGTGCTTACAGGGCCCACACATTTGAAAAAAAACAAACAAACATACCTGCTTGTTTTTATTCTCCAGGGAGATCTCATATTCGCTTGGCCCCTCTCTCTTGGGCCCCTCCACTTCCTGTCCACCACCAGAGGACGTTCCATCCTCCAGGCTCAGCATCTGTCCACTGCCAAGGAAATGAGAACGGAAAGCGATCAGTCCTCCGTATTGACCTTCAAAACTCTGCTCTGTTATCGCAGTGGCAGGTCATCAACTGTGCAGAGTGTGAGGAGGTCCACAAGGGAAACAGCAGGTAGAGAGAGTGATGTGTGACTGTGGTAGCTCAGGGCAAGGATGAGTTTCGGTGTCCGGTCCTATTTGATCAGATTTATGGTTCCACTGCAGGTTGCAGCAGTGAAACTCTGGACCAGGATGGAATTACCTCAAGTCCAAAATCATTCCCTCCATCACTCTTTTAATTATTTAGCATAATTAAACTTACTATACTACCCTATAGTAGGGCTGAAAGCATCATAGCCCAAGTCGACATGTGTAAATAACCTACCAACAGTCCATAACTCAAAGGTATTCATTGTCCAAAGAAAGAAAACAGAGAAAAGCAACAAATTAAAAAATAAATCTGTGCTAATTTTGTGCACGAGACACTCCCAAAGCTGAATGTGTTTCCATGGCAATGGCATCATATGGATGAACACTTCAGTGGCAGATGAGATTAAAAGTATAACTTTCTGAGGTTTTTTTTTTTACATAGAAATGAAAAGAAAACATTTTTTGATGTTGTGCTTACAGTAGAAGAGGAGAAGAATTAAGTCATATAAACATGCAAGACAATAACAGACTATCACGTCCTCAAAGTCAAACATGACTTGCAGAAAAAGTATAGGAATTACCTAATTTAACTTCACAGATATTTAATAAACAGTCATTTCTGTAATACAGCAGCAGCTGGAAGAAAAAACTAAACAAAAATATATTTGAATCTGACTCATCAAACTCTGTGACTGTGGAGACTGTTTCCCAGTGCTCACTGCCCCCGGTTGAGTGTCCCATCCTCCTCTTATAACACCAGGCCCTAGATGGAACAATGTTCTTTAACATAACAGCATTATCAAAAGTCTGTGAAAGCCATGTAAGGCTTACCAAAGTAATAACTAGTGCCATGACACAGCAGAGAGAGTCCTGTTGTGAACAACAAAAAAAGAAGAAGAAGAAGTATAGCGGCCAACAATTCTGACATCTCACCACTAAATACAAAACCTTTACGTTCAGCAGCTTTTATATGGCAAAACTGGCCTGATGTAAGCATAGAGGTATAATCACACCCTAAGAGGTTTTATAATGGTGTGCAATTTGGTGTGTGTGTGTGTGTGTGTGTGTGTGTGTGTGTGTGTGTGTGTGTGTGTGTGTGTGTGTGTGTGTGTGTGTGTATGTGTGTGAGATGTTGTTGAATCTTTTTTCCACCCAGATAATGCTTACTCTAATAATTTTTACACAAAGGGGACTAGTGCAAAACAAGACTGGGGAGACTAAAAAGCCTGCTCATGGTTAAATAATGAGTGCATCGCTAAAGTTCCTCTTTGTTTTCTTTGATTGCTGTGAAGGCAAATACTCTGTGTTCCCAGCTAAAAGTCCGAGACAGGGCCAGAGAAGCTTAGTCAATGACATAAAACTTAGAAAAATGGAAGAGAGAGAGCAACCAGGGAATGACTGCGAAGCAATCAGAGAGAGGAAAGAGGAAGATATGGAGAGACTCTGTTGGTGTGCACACGCTGGAGGCTACCTCTATCAAAACCTCTATTAAAAGACTACCATGCCCCTGTGCTGCATCAGAATACATTAGAGTACATTAAAATACATTACAGGATTTAAAAGCAAGAGTTGAGCTATTAATGCATCTGGACAGCAAAATCCTCCATAATGATATGGGCGCTATACACTCGCGCTCTCTCTCTCTCTCTCTCTCTCTCTCTCTCTCTCTCTCTCTCTCTCTCTCTCTCCATCTCTCTCCATCTCTCTCTCTCTCTGTATTGCATGCACCCCCGCACATGCTCACATATGTAGCGGCAAAAAAACACACCACGCACACACTCCTGCTCCGCCTGCTTGTGTGACATCATGGAGGAAGAGCAATAAGCATCTGTCAAATGGTATCTCTCGAGGTCTTTAGAGACATATAGTACTGTACAGACAAGGGAGAAACACACACACACACACACACACACACACACAGTAGAAAAGTAGAAAAAAAGGCACAGCAGGTTAGGTTAGAGGTGGATTACATGACATCTCTCAGGGAGGTTTGTGTACTCTGATGTACAGATACACCAAAATCCGGTTGATCATCTGGCATCGGTCGGCCTTGTCAGTGTGTAAACTGGTTAGTTCTCCTCTTTGTGAGTTTTAGGAGGGTGGTGGAAAAGTTAGTTTGGATCCCTGTACTATAACTCTCATCCTGCTTTAAATGTTTCCTCAGTCTCCGTCGTCTTTTCTAAATGTTAACATGTTTCTCCTATATGACAGCATAATCTAAAACCTTTACTAGCTAGTGTTGAATATTTTATGTTATAATGTATAGATGTCCTCTCTCCCTTAAATATCTCTCAAGTTCTGAAATCTACATCTCATTAATTAATAAAAAAATCCATCTACACTAATATGTTACTGCCTAAGATAACCAAGTATATTAGATTGATATGTCCATGGAATAATGGAAATATACATTACTTTCCCTTGTTTTAATATCGGGATTATATATCGGCCATCTGCTGCCCTGCTACAGCAGCTCCTGAAAAGCCCATATCGGTCGACCACTACTCCGATGTATTCAGTGGATGACAGTTAGTGCGTAGAGGTGGTGCAGGTTTGCAACCACCAAGCACACACAGGTTAATGTGATGATAATAACAAGCTACGGCTCCTCTACAGCTCATCATCTCGGGTGGTTGTCCACTCCTGCTGTGCCATTAGCTCATCCAATCAGTACTACGTGGGTGTGGGTGTTAAGTCATCAGATCAGAGAAAAGAGAGGGATTCCAAACAGGCAGATGGTGATATTAGTAAAAAAAAACAGAATGAGAAGGAGACTTGATAGGAAGGGATGTGTTAGAAATTATTGTGGAGAGATGATTAGAAAAGACAAGGTCTTCCAACAGACAGATAAATGATAATTAGAGATGCATACAGAAATAAACAATACAAGGGCAGAAAGACATTAGAGAAGATGAAGTGACAGAAAAAGTAGACTGGGAAAAGACAGGATTTAGACAGAGGATTAAAAGATAGGAGAAATTCTGGAAGAGGCAGGGCAAACAGTAATCATTGAGAAACATGAGAAAATCAGCTTTTCAAAGTTTTACAACAGAGCTCTGCTCATTCACCCGAAGTGAAACGTCATGGATTCACACGGCCCCACGCACAGCAAGAAGAAAAAAGAAGGAAAAAAAGACTCATACAACAAACTGCCCATGCAGAAAAAGACAGCAAAAGTTATATTCTCCAGTTACTATGGCAGTGGTAATATCAGTTCATACTCCCCTCCCCCACAACCCACCCCCTCTCTCTCTCAGTCTCTCTATGTGTGAGTTACCCTTGAGGCTGTGAGAGCTATAGGTTTGTTACGGAGCATTTAACTCTCTCACTGTAACTCCAGGCTCCACGCATCCATAAATACACCAGTTCACACTCACATACAGTAGTACTGTGCACACATAAACAAGCATGATTAAAAACCTGGGTGAGGACATGTTTCAGATAGTTGACACACATGTACAGAGAGAGAGACAGAAAGTTTTCAATGGTTGAAAGAGCAAACACTGTAGGAAAAAGACTGCAGAGAAAAACGTGGAAATAAAAGTGTCTGTGATTGGTGTCTGAGCCGCTCTTACCCGGATGAGCCAGTGGTGTCAGCCTCTGTATGTTCAGGGGCGGGGCAGCAAAATTGATGCAGCACGGTCTCACTCCTGTAGAAGGGCAGACAAGAGAAGAGGAGAGGTAAGCAAGGGGGAAGTAAAGAGGACGGCATGTCATTCAGTTATTATTGGCTGCTGCTGGTTGTTTGCCTTGTTTCCATATTCCTCCGTATGTTCATTCTTAGTCCAACATCCCAAAGGATCTTGAAGAGATTCTCATTAGACTCTCCTGGATTATTTCCGTGGGTTCTGTTTACAATTTGGCACTGATCCCGGGGTAAATACCCTATGTAGGTCAATTCAAGGCTGAGAACGCTTAGAACGAGAGTATTTATACGTTAGTGTGTCCGGATGTGCTTGTTTATTCCTCCTCCCCTCCAATTCATCAGATTGGTGGTGATTTAGCAGAATTCCCAAACCCATTCTTTTTCCTGCTCTGTCTCTTCGTAAGTTCGCTCATTTCTCTCTCATACATTTTGCATTTGCATTCATATTTTAGGCATTTTGCGGCTCTTATCCGGAGCAATTTAGAGAGAAAAGAACAGAAAAAAACAACTACAAGACATCATGTTTAAGCCGTTGCATAGATCGACCCTTTGACCTTCTGCATGAGGATACCTTCCACCACTGGAGACATAAAAATGAGCGTGCTCATAATTTTAAAAAATATGTTCATGGTCTATTTTTTAGGAGTGGGTGTGACTTTAGATCACATTAGGTCCTTCCACAATGAGCTGAAAGCATTCAGTTGACAGAGAACGTCTTGGCTACGCTACAGTAAATCTTCTGACCGGGGCTCAGCATATAGCCCGTGACACAGACCCACAGTGACAGGCAGTCAGAGTCAGTGCAAGACTCCGTGTGACAGTCTGAGCTATAAAAAGCTACCTTTTTACAGCAACTCCCATAGACTTAAAGGGACAATGATGTTTTTTTTAACAACTCGGATCAACACTCCTCACAGTTGGTTTCTATGAATAATATTCCTCCATCTGTTGTAACACCTACCTCCCCATGGACACCCCTCATACAGACACACACGTAAACATGTATGAATAATTTGTTAGAACTTTGAGAGATTCCTTTGGAGCCCCAGGTGGGGTCTCGAGCGCAGTATCCATGCTGCCTTAGTGGACTTAATTTGTTCATATATTTGGATTCATTTATATTTTTTCCTTAGAGAGAGACACATTATTGCCATCTTATAACACCCCAGAGATTTCAAAAATAAAGTTTACTACACCATCTGTCCACCACCATCAATTACATTAGTCAGACTCTCATGCATCTCACTGAATGATAATTTTTTTCCCCTCTAGGTTGCCTGCAGGTTAATATAATTCCACATTTTATTACTTAACTATATTTCAATTTGACCTTTTAATTCAATTCAATTAAATTGTATTTGTATAGCGCACATTCTTTTAGTCCCTTGATCTGTGCATAAAGGTTTTTTTTGTATGAGATTAATTTATTTCTTCATTTAAACTATTTGGCATTGTAAAAAAATCCATTGAAATATAAAAACCATGTTCTTTCAGATTTAATACATCTCTTTAATCTCATCTCCTCTTTGTAATATATTAATTAATTGAACACCCATAAATCTGTGCAGTACAAATGTGCAGGAGTTCACCTTCTCTGTGTTGAAGGTTTTGGGGGTCACAAGGTCAACATATCTACGTAACTTATCTATCTATCTGTCCACACCTGGTTGACAGAAGGTTGAACTCCCACATACTGTCAGCAGGTTATTAGAGACACAATGTTGTTTTTACACTTTGGTATTTGTATGGATTAAACAAAGAAGATATAACGTGTTAATTAGTGAACTTTGGCAGTGGTGGTAAGGTGGATTTTGTTACCTTTGGATAGATCCAAGCAATCTGTTTCTCTTCTTCTTCCAGCCTTTGTGCTATGCAAAGCCAACAGGTGCTGGCTGTAGCTACATATTTAACAGATAAGAGTGGTATCCATGTTCTCATCTAACTCTCAGCAGGAAAGCAAACAAACATATTTACCAAAATGATGAATTACTGCTTTAAAATGAGACAGTAGAGAAGAAATTAACATAGTAGGTAAAAATGTTCTAAAAGAGTTGATGGGCAAACTCAGGTTTTTTTAAAGTAAAAAAAAAGTTTCAGACACTCCCCTCACACACACACAAAAAAGAAAAGAACAACTTCATACAAATGAAAGTTTAAAAAGAGGTTATGGGATGGAGATTGGAGATAAACTTCAGGCCAAAATGTAAAAGCACTGAACTTGCAAAGCCAATTCCTGCTCACCATCAGTATGAGAGCTAAATTATTTTGCCAGGCAGATATAAAACAGTTCAGTACTGTGGAAAGAGCGAGGCTGCTTGGGTCCCTGAGCACACACACACACACACAGACACACACTCGTACACAGACATAAACATCCACAGCAAGTCCGTCCATCTGTCTGCACAAGACACACAAAAAACGGCAATCTGCCTCCAACAACGCTTACAAAGAGAAAAGGTGAATATTTTAACAGTACATGCATCCTGCTGTCTGCCTATGTCTCTCTGTGCTCCGTCCTCCCTCACACCATCCCTCTCCTCTGTCCTGTTTTGTAAGGGTACTTTAAACGCAGTGCTTTTCATCAGCCAGTATTTGGACTTAAAACACTGCCAGTACATTCTGTGCACCTTCCACTGTGCCACAGGATGCCACAGCCTGTCCCTCTGTTGCCCAACCTTTTCTATTTGTCTGCCAGCAAGATAGATAAACCGGAGAGACAGCTACCCCAAATGCACCTTTTTTTCCACTTTTTTCCCATCTCTCTCATCTCCCTGTTTCGCTCTCTCAGTACCTGTCTCACTCCCTCCATACTGACCCCCCCCTCTATTCTCACCACCCCCCCCCTTTCCTTTTACTGGCCCACTCCAATGTCAGCCTCAAGCTCCTTCCTCTAGACACCTCCAAGGGCTCCATCAAAGACGACGACTGAGCGTGCATCTCTCTCTTTTTCTCTGCCTTTCTCTCTCCTGAGAATGGCTGATTACGGTTCGCTCCATGGGCTAAGTGGGGCAGATAGGAGGCTCAGCTGGAGAGAGAGACAGAGAACGAGTGGAGGAGAGGATCCTGTCTGTCCCCCCCCCCCACACCACCAATAGGCCCATCCACGTGCATCAGCAACACAGACAACAAAGCAAAAGCACATAAACACACTCATGGCTAACCGTGCTCAACCCACATGTCATTTATCTGTACAGAGAAATAAAACTGTTGGATAAACATTCAGGTAAGTAAGGCGTGTGAAAGAATACGCTAACACATGCACCATACACCCAAAAACACTAAAATATGCTGACACACACACACACACACACACACACACACACACACACACACACACACACACACACACACACACACACACACTGTCACTGACAAAAGCAGAGGGCAGATTTGATCCAGTCAAGTGCAGACAGGATGCAGCACACAGTGACAGGAAGGTGAATCCTTAAAAATGCAAGTGAAAGCCTGACCCCCCCCCCACACACACACACACACACTCCCCAGCCCCCCACCCGCCTTGCCTGCCAGAGGCAAAACTATAAATTAGGTGTTAAGATGCTAGTCTTAAACAGAACGACTTGAAATCAATGAGCAGGTGGGGATGTAAGGTTGCATTCAAGGACACATTGTCAGCAGGTACAGGGAGGCTGTGTAATAAACCACTGGCCCCACTCTTGCTGCCCTGTCAACTGGCGGATGGCTGCGTCGCTTTCTGCCTGCAGCTTTCTATTATAACAATTAATTTATTCTAACTTCTTCCTCATCATCAGAACTGATTTTAAATTAAGAACCGGTGGTGTTACATCAATTCTCGTCAAATATTAAAAAATGGTTGCTGCAGGGTAATCTCTTTAGAGGGCCCAGCTCGGGTTCTAGGTAAGACCATAGAAGAGAGCAACAGGCACAAGTGCAAACTCAAGAGCAGGAAATGTATGTGGTAGGTGGTGAATCATTCGCTGTACCATTAATATCAATAACTCCTTTTTTTGTTAATATGCATGTATCCCCTTCTGCACTTCTATGCTCCTCTCAATTCCTCCTCTGTTTTGTGTTGCTCCCCTCAGTGGGGGTGGAGTCCCAGAGAGACCAATCAGGACTCCTGCCGGGATAGAACTTATGAACACACAGACACACACACACACACACACACACACACACACAAGACACGGAAAGATGGGTTTTCTCTCATTACTGTAGGTGATGTGCTGCTGTATTAGGATACTCTGGTGCCAAGCAGGGGGTTGTGGTGGTGTGTGTGTGTGTGTGTGTGTGTGTGTGTGTGTGTGTGTGTGTGACTGTGTGCACGTGTGTGTAATCTAACAGAGCAACATCAGAGGCCCAGAGGTCCCGTGAGAGTTCCCAGATCCCGTGCAGTAATTAATAGAGAATCCAGCAGCACCGCGGACAGCGACTCGCGGTGTCTCATCATAGCACGTGAAGCTGCTCCTGTCTCGAGCTGACATTGACCGCTGTGCTGTTTGTTGTGTTTCCAGCACACACACACACACACACACAGCACACAGCACACATAGGCACACAGCTGTTTGTTATGTAATGATCCAGTGATCGTGATCCAGTTTCTCATTTAAATAATCCACCTCTTCCTCTTCTGGCACAGTCTTTAGCCGACACACACACACACACACACACACACACACACACACACAGCTAAAAATTAGAAATTTGCAAACGCCTTCTTCATTAATTTAACGCCTCTCAATCTGCAGCACACGCACACACGCGCGTGCACGTCCCTAATTATACAGTTTTAGTCGGATGCTACAGAAATATTGTGAAGGATTCAAAACAGTCTTCTATAAACCCGGGAATACATTGATTTAGGCTTTAGGTCGTCACTGCAGGAGGAGGTTATAATAATGTTTAAATACCACATAAACCTTCTGAATAGCCTACCACACATATATTCCCTGTTGGACTATTTTAAGACGCACACGCACTCGTGCAAACAACCATATAACCTCTACTCACTCGGATTTCTTAGTCAGGGCCAGGGATCGACATAGGGTTGTGGGGGTCATCGGGACCAAAGAGCGGCAGCTGTGGAAACTTCCGGCGTTTTCTGGGTCACTTTCAACCGGGGAAACCGTGGACGGGTCGGCCGGGACCAGCTGCATGTTCCCCGGGTCTATAGTTTGTGGAGGCGACGGCTGGACTTCCGGAGCCGCCTCGACCTGTGCTGGTGCAGCCGCATGGTCTGGCAGAGACCCCGCGCTAGGCTTGAGCTGGGGGTCCTGAGGGTGGTGGTGGTGGTGCTGAATGCAGCTGGGGTCGGGGTGATGGTGGTGGTGGTGGAGGTAAGGATGGTGTTGCTGTACCCTGACGTCCCGCAGGTGCCTGTTCTCGCCGATGAGCTCGTCCACCCGCCGGTCCAACTCCTCTATCCGGGAGCGCTGGGTCTGGATGAGACTCTGCTGGTTCTGGACGATGGTGGTGAGCTCCCGCAGGTACAGAATCGCCTGCACTGGGTTTTCCAGCAGGCTGGAGCTCATCATACTCAAGACAAGATGAGGGAAGAGAAGGAGAAGGAAAAAAAAAGAAGCTGGACTGACGGATGGAGGACAGAGGAGATGCACAGTATCCGTGAGTGCGGAGGAGAAGGCGAGGTGTCCTTCCTTCTGCTCTCCTCTCCTTGATTCTGCTCGGTTGTGGATGAGGCTGCACCGACCGAGCTAGCCTCGCTTCTCCGGTCGTTTCCCTCCCTCCCTCTCTCTCTCTCCCTCACTGCGCTGAGTGGTGCTGATGAGAGGAGCCAGATCCAGATGTGACAGGAGGGAGGAGGAGAAGCGCTGGAGGACGGATGCGTCATTACGCACAGACTCACAGGAAAGCTATGAGCAAGCACGCACCCTATAGGTTGTTGAAGGAGGTTGAACGTCAAAGCTATGGAACTCTGCTGTGCGTGGTTTCCTGAACATAAAATATAAAAATACATTTGATATATTATTATATATTTTATATGGACCTTTGTAGGCTATATGAATGTACATGCGTGGTAACAAGTAGGACAATGCAACGGAAGACCACTTTGCTATGATGTGCAAGTCAAAAGGTAGCCAGACAGATAGATAGACAGAAAGAACCAAAGAGATATTGTTGGAAATAAAACCAAAAAAGAAACAGGACTGATATGTTGAAATAATATAATAACACAAAAGAATATACTGAATATATGTAAGTAGAGAAAGTTGAGACATTCAGAAAATAATTAAATAAAAGTAAGGAATTGAGCAAAGGGCCAGGCTAAATAATATTCACATATTCTTTTATTTATTTTTTCAATCTATATTTAAGAAGTAACAACATAAACAACAAATAAATTCTGGACATAAAATACAGAAATAATAACAATAAAACTGCGAACACAACAACGAAAAATCATCAAATAGGCTAAATAAATAATAAACACACACACACACACACACACACACACACACAGCACTGTGAACTCCAGACTTTCCTGAGAGAACTTGAAGGCAACACTGGAACTTCAGCGTGGTCACGTGTCCACGAGGATGCGGAAGTGCGGAACCGTTGTTTTGCCAATCAGCTCGGATGCTAGCATCGATAGCCTAGCAACTTATTCTTCTTCTTATTATTATTTTATCTATCCTGTCACCGTTAACAAGTAAACAACACACATGGTCGGGTAAGACTGATGTTTTAAATCGTCCGGGTCTCGCAGTTTAACATATTTTTAAACGTTTTTTTTCCCGGTTTATTTGTCGATGTCTTCTTTAGCATGGACAGTTTTTATTAATGTTCCTCAGCTTCATTAAAGAGAAGATTTCTTCGGAGTATCTGCGCCAGTAAATGGCCGTATTGTTGGTTTCTCACATGTAAACTGTTGATATTGCCGTAGACAGCTACAGGGATCGGCTTGAGACAATTTCACACATCGCAGAAACAGAAATAGTGAAACATTGGAGAGTTTGTATGTTGCAGCTTGTCATGTGAGAGTTTGTTACAGAGGTCAGGGTTCAGGTAACGATGCTGTCTATTGATAACACAAGACATCACTGTGAAAGATTTGATTGCTTCTTTAGATTGTTTAGATTGTTTTTAGTTGTGAACTATTTATTATTTGTTTTTCCATTGTTGAGATTCAGTTTCTTTTTTTTTAAAACTTACAAACAATCATTCAAATACATAGACTGTATATACTTTAATATCCATCTACCTCATGTACTGCACATAAAGAAATCTGCACGTAAATATTTATTTCAGCATCCTTTGTACTTTGTATTGTCTACTGTCTACAAAAAGTGTGTATCTATATACTAGTAGTCTATTTTGCTGAGCTTGTTGTCCTGTTTATTTATGCTTAGTCTGATTACACGCTGTCTCGCCCAGTTATGATGTGATTTACTTTACTGTAATAACGACATGCTGATCCCGAGGTCAAGAATCAACTCCCATGCTCAAGATCAGAGTTTGACTATTTGAGCACACAGCTTTGTTCTTGATTACAAACTTTGTTCGGTGTTGTTGTCTTTAGGATGACGCAGAAGCACTGCCTGGAGGGCCAGGTGTACTCAGTGCCTCTCATCCAGCCAGATCTGAGGAGAGAAGAGGCCGTCCATCAGATAGCAGATGCATTACTTTATTTGGAGACTATCTCTACAGATATTTTCAGAAGGCAAGTCCAGAATATCTCTCTCTCTCTCTCTCTCTCTCTCTCTCTCTCTCTCTCTCTCTCTCTCTTCACACACATTCATTTATTCATTTTTTTTAATCCAAATTAAAATGATTAAAGGTGCCAAATGTTTTAAAGTGATGGAAAGAAGATGTTTTTTGGCATTAGGTTTTCAAATAAGGAATCAAAAAGACTGTTGCTATCACAACATCTGTAGGTATTTATGGATAGAAAAAAATGTGACATGTGGAATCCATATTCTAAATGACATTTCATGCACTTGTTTTAGAGCAGACGTATGCATCAGTGGCCTAAAGGTTACAGAAGCAAGCTTGTTGACTGGAAGGGCGTTGGTTCAATCCTCATTACCTCTTAACCTCCTTCATTACCACCACTGTGTCCATGAGCTAGGCCCTTAACCCCGACCCCAACAGTGGCCAGCAGATCAGATAGGGGTGTGAATGTGATCAGGCTGTTCCTGTAAAATAGTCAATACAGAGGAACTCTGGCTCTCAGTGAATAAATAAAGGTGAAAAAAAGATGGTCCTGTCTGACATTCTGAAAATGGAGGAAGTGTCTCCTGTTACTACATTCAGAAAGTGACATTTATGAACAGAATTGTTTTGTCAATATGACCTTTTGAAATGGGATGTGTTAGTAATTAGATATCAGTGCTGAAACAACTGTGTAATACTTGAAATTCATCTTAATTAAATGCAAGAAGTCTACAATTACTTCATTAATTCATTCTTCGGATTCAGCACCCTGCAGAGTATAAATAAGGAGAAGTGCACAAGGGGGGGATACGTTACGCACTCCTCTATATATTGTATTATGCAATATGGTCGCCGACATATTTTCCTCTTTGTGTGGTTGTGTGTATGTCCACACTCATGTTGGTGTGTATGTGTGTGTTGCTTCCAGGGTATCTGACAGTGTGGAGAAGAACCGCAGACAGCTGCAGACCGTCACTGACCGGATCAGACTAGCTCAGGCCCGTGTCGACAAGATCAAAGGCAGTAAGAAGGCCACCAAGGTAACACAGCAGCTTCATTTAAAAGGCAGCTTTACATACTGAATATGTAATATGATACACAATAGAGACACAATAAAGTGACAAGATCATTGAAAACAACAATTAGTATCTTCTGTGCCTATAGGTTTTTTCCAGTGCCAAGTACCCAGCCCCAGATCGACTCCAGGATTACTCATCTATCTTTACTGAGGCTACAGACCCCTCCTCACAAACCCGCCCCAGACACAGGATACAGAATAAACTTCGACCCTTTGATGAGAAGGCCTTGCAGGTAAGATGAATACATTAAAATGCTGATTACAAAAGGATTTTGACATGCAATGTCTCCAATTAAGCAACAACAACAAAAATGTGAGTTTTTAAGAGCTTTGGTTTCTCAGCTAATGTCTTGCAGCCCACAAGCCATTGTGCTATAACTAGCCCGATGGTTCTGGGGCCTCTTTATACAGCTGACACTGCTAAAACTGTGGGTGTAAAGCGGGGATAAAAAGAGGCATGACTAATTTTAATTTACATGGCTTTTATCTTACTGCCGAGAATTATGACGCAGCTTTCACTCCGGTCATTATAGGACAGGAGTGGCTTTGAGTTGGAAGTCTTGACTTCTCATATTCCTATAGACTCTAGGCACAAATGACACCCCCCACCAGTATATACTGTATGCAGCAGTTAAGAGACACTGTCGCATTGCCGGGACATCTTTCTCCTCCAGAATCCAAGGTCTCCTTCCCAGCACTCTTGACATATGATTTTCTGCGGAGGATGAGCAGTGCATTACCTCGATAATTGGAATATGCTCTTCGGTCACCTTTTTTTAAAATATAAATGGGAGCCACCATCTTTCTGCCAACTGTCGCAGTGACATCCACTGTATTGTAGGTGTAACTCTGATCCCTGAGCACTGAGTAATGACTGAAATAATTAAATCATTGATAGAAATAGCCTAAATGACCTTCTCAGGGTGCCTGGGCCTGTAGGGACAGAGTGAAAAGCTCAGATATCCAGAAGGAGCTGGAAAGTGCAAGTGCTTCTCCTTCACGTTGGAAAGGAGCCAATTGAGGTGATGGGAGCATCTGATGTCTCCTGCACGCCTCCTTGAAGAGGTATTTTTTATCCTGTCTGACCTGGAATCACCTCATGGATCCTTCAGGAAGAGTGTGATGACATGGCAGAGAAAGACATCTGGGGTTCTTGGCCTAACCTGACACGACACAGACCTGAATCAATTGCGAAAGATGGATGGCTCTTTTTATTTTTATTATTTAACCTTAAACTGCACATAATTCATGCTCATGCTTTAAGTTGGCTACAGGTCAGGATAATTATCATCAGGCCAGGTTCCCCTGATCTGAAAATGTCTGAATATTCAAAAACACACACAGGTAGAGCCTCCTCCTAAACTTCAGTTTGACAAACACTAAAACTTTCATATGTATTTCAAATAATGATTTGACCTGGTCTGGATACAATCTACCTCTTACAAAGAACATTTTTAGCGCCTGTTTATAAAGTATGCTTCACATGTTACTGTCGGCACTGTGCTGGCTAAGTTTCTGCTATATTGTTGTTATATAAACTAATCATTTTTAGCTTTAACGGCTGATTTCTTATCATTAGTGGCATGCATGTTAAAAAAAAAAAAAAAAACAACCTTTATCACTCAGACAATACTGATAAGCTTTCATCTATTTCAGCGTCAGTTTTTCACAGCTACAAGTTATATGACCAGCTGACATCCACTTAATGAAACCTTACACTGGCCATAATGAGGACTGTGGCACTTGCACAGAATTGTTCAGGCATGTTATTTTATAGGTTTGAAGAAATGGAAGAGGAGAGGAGAGCAGTCCAATTTTATATTAGCTTGTCATTTTGTGGCTCCAAAGTAAATGAAGAGGTGTGGAGATGAAAACAACATAGACATGAAGAAAAGTACAATGTGTGATTGTGTTTTTGTTTTGTTTTTTGCCTAAGTGGTTTTGTGTGTGTGTGTGTGTGTGTGTGTGTGTGTGTGTGTGTGTGTGTGTGTGTGTGTGTGTGTGTGTGTGTGTGTGTGTGTGTGTGTGTGTGTGTGTGTGTACTCGGTTCAGCACAAGCTCCTGCATTATTTATAGTGAACACCACAGTTTTTTCTGTTACCATCTTAGGAAACTTTATGAAAGCCAACTTATTCTCTGCTGCATGCACTTGGTCTTGCATGTGTGTTGTTTTTCTGTGTGTATCTCTGT